TAATAATAAAATAATAATAATAATAATAATAATAATAATATAATAATAATATATAATAATAATAATAATAATATATAATAATAATAATAATAATAATAATAATAATAATAATAATAATAATAATAATAATAATAATAATAATAATAATAATAATAATAATAATAATAATAATAATAATAATAATAATAGTAATAGTAATAGTAATAGTAATAGTAATAATAATAATGATTTATTTACCAGATCCATTCACATAGCTCTTCCCTGTTAAAATAATAATTAAATACTGCATTCTATAACTATTCTATACGTCACTTGTTAATATTAGTAATAAGTAATGTTTACTATTTGCTATATCACACTACGTCTCCCTTTTCTTCGATTTGTCAACATAATGTCAACGACTGTATTGTTCTGTCTTTATAGCGTATTCTATACTGTACTTAGTTATTCTAATCCCAGATTCTCTCTAGCTTTTAAAGAAAGTATTTTTATTCTTTTCGGTCTGTTGTTTGTATTCGTATTAGGTGGGTGTTTCTGTTTCTCTTGTTTCTTGTCCGTGTGTTCTTGTTCTCTTGTTTCTTGACCGTCGTAGGAGTGTCAACCAAATATGATCTTGGTTTGTTGGATGTTCTGATTACTGTTCCTGTACGGCTTCATTGTTTGAGCACTATGGCGATTATCAAAATTTTTCTTCTGTTTCAATGTATATTCTTCTTACTTTGCTTTAAAAAGTTCCTGGTTTTGTAGTTGCGGTGTGAGCTGTTGTGCCATAATTGGTATTGTTGATTTTATCTTTCTCCCCATGAGAAGTTCTGCTGGCGAATATCCACTTGCTAATGGTGTTGATCTATATGCTAACATTGCTTTTGCGGGATCTTTTTCTTTCTTCAAGATATTTTTCACTGTCCTTACTGCCCGTTCTACCTCTCCGTTCGATTGAGAATAGCGAGGACTACTGGTACTATGCTTGAATCCCCATTCTTTTCCAAACTGCATGGGCGAACTCGTCACTGTGGTATTGGGGCCCATTGCCGGAACGTACTTCGTCAGGAATCCCGTGCCTGGCTTTTAAAGCTTGTATTATCTTCGTTGAACTTGTAACTTTGGTTAGTGCCACAACTTCAACATATCGAGAATAATAATCTACCACTAGTAGATTGGTCACCTTTTCTAGAATAAACAGGTCTGTTGCGATCAGTTGTCATTGTCTTGCTGGAGGGGCGTTGGGATCAACGGTTCTGCTTGCTGTTGTTTGTACTTGGTGCGAGGTGCACAATTCTCAACCATAGTTTTGATTTGTGCACTAAGTCCTGGCCACCAAACGGATATCTTGGCTCGTTCTCTGCATTTGTTAATCCCTTGGTGTATTTGGGCAAGGATTTGGCGTTGAAGACTGGATGGAAAAACTAGTCTTGTTCCTTTTAGTAATAACCCGTCAACAATTGTTAGTTCTCCATGTACTGACCAGTATGGTTTTACTGCCCAGATGACATGATCCTTGTCTGGCCATTGATCCATGCAGTACTTCTTCACTTCTTTGAATACCTCATCATTATCTTGAGCTTGTTGTATTTGTTTCAATCTTGGATTTGATGACGGGAGTGCTTCCATTACACTGGAGATGTAGGTATTCATTTCCTGTTCTTCTATCGTTGATTAAGCTGTGCCTCAGGTATTTTTCTGTGTAGTGTAGTTTTCCAGGTACGTGTCGGACTTCCTTGATGTGAAATCTCATGAGTCTCATCTTATAGCGTTGTAGCCTTGGAGGTAGTTTATCGACCGTGTGTTGGGTGAGCAGGGGAACCAGTGTTTTATATGGTCAGTTTCTATTGTTATCGACTTTCCAATGATGTAGTTGCTTGACCGCTCACATGCCCAAGTAACTGTTAGAACCTCTTTTTCTATTTGCGCGTACTTAGTCTCGCGGATGGGTTTTGTCATGACTGCGAAATTGGTGGTAAATTTGCTGAATTGATTCACCATATCCAGGAAGGAACGGACTTCATGTGGGTTAGTTGGGGGTGGCATTTTCAGGATCGCTTGTATTTTCTCTTGGTCCGGTTTTATGCCGTCATATCCGACAATCTGACCTAAAAATTTCACGCTGAGGACGTTGAATACACACTTTTCAGGATTGAGGGTGACGTTGGCATCGCCGAGTCGTTGTAGTACCTTTCTAATCTTTAGTCGTGCTCCTCTTGCGTTGTACCATATATTAGAACATCATCAATGTTGCATTCGACACCTTCTTAACCTTCGAGGATTTGAGACATACACTTCTGAAACTTTTCAGAGCCTGAGCTTATTCAAAAGCGAAGAACGTTAAAGCAATATCGTCCCCACAGGGTGATGAACGTTGTGGGAGGTCTTGCCCGTTCTGACAGTCTAATTTGCCAGAATCCCGAGTTCGCATCTAATTTTGAGAAATGCCGAGCACCAGCAAGGTTTGCAAATGTTGTTTCGGGTATTGGTAGTGGGTGGTTTTCGCGTTGTACGTACTGATTGAGCTTCGTGAGATCTACACATATCCGAACCTTTCTATTGCTTTTTGGTGTTATCACCATCGGGGCGCACCGTTCAGTCGGATCTTCAATCCGCGATATGTTCGACTCCGTTTTGTTCGATTCTTTTTATTTTTCGTTGAGTTTCTTTGCGGAGTGGAATCGGTACTTGTCGTGGTACTGTGATGGCAAACGTGATTGCATCTTGAGTGATTTTGATATCGTATTCTAGGTTTTTAATTTGTCCGAGACCAGTAAAGAGATTGGTATGCTTTTCTCTTATATTTTTTTCTATTTCAACCTTGTTTAGTACATCCACGTTGACTTGATTGATTAGCTTCAGATTCTGGGATGCTTGCCTTCCGAGTAGTGGTCTTTCTAAGCCTTTCACGACAAATATTTCTTTTGTCGTTGTCTGGTTTTCTTGTCGGAGCTGCGATGCGATGTTCCAATACAGTGCAACTTGTGCTTACATGGACCCATTAGGACTTTTCCAGTCGAGTCGAGCTTTTGAGGTAGTTTTCGTTGTTGAAATGTTCTTAATGGTATCACTGTGACGTCAGCGCCACTGTCGAATTTGAATCTTATGTTTTCTTCATTTACTTTGATGTCTGCAGTCCACAATTTACTGCTAGTGTTGCCGACAGTGTCTAGGTGTAATATTTCACCCTGGAAATATGGCTCATCTTCTGACGAATTCTCTTCCCTGTTTTCTTGCCGGGAATTTAATTCCTTTATTTCTTGCTTTCGCAATTGTTGGCCCGTTTGGCTTCGACATGCCTTTGCCCAATGTCCCGTCTTCGAACAATTATGACATATGGAATCACTTGCTGGGCACGATTGCCAGGAGTGTGGTGTTCCGAGACACCGTGAACATTTGAGCTTGTAAAATTTGCTGTGTTTACTAGTACTCGGAGTAAAATGGCCTTCACGGAAACGTTGTTGCTTTCTATTCTTAGATATGTTGTCGATATTGTGCTCGCTATTTCCGGTAACTTTTTCTCCTTGAATAACACTTGTTGCTTTTTGATTTCCCCGCTTTGTCTTGCTTGAGACATAGCTTTCTCTAGAGTGAGATTTAGATCTGGTTGTAAGTTCTTCGATATATAGTTTCTTGTTCTGCAGTCCAACTACGATTCAATCTCGTATTAATTGATCTTTCAGTACCCCAAATTCGCAGTACTTGGCGAGGCAATGAAGGTCGGTAATGAAGCTTTCCACGGGTTCGTTTTCGTCTTGAGTTCCAACATTAAATTTTATTCGCTCTTTCGAAAATCACATTTTGTTTAGTGATGAAGTGATTTTCGAACTTGTTTCGAACTGTTTCGTAGCTTTTGATCTCCTCGTCGCTGAGGATCTCCTCGTCGCGATGTGATTATATCGTGTGCCTTATTGCCTATGGCTATGGTGTAGATAAGCGCATTGACTTGTTTCTCTTCGTCTCTCTTGACAGTCTTGTCAAGTTCTGTAACAATTCTAATTATGACCGCTCAAATCGGCGAGTTCATCGGGTCCATTCCGAGGATTGAAAGCTAAACTTTGACGGCGGTGTTATTTGATAAGTTGTCAAACTTCGCGCAATATTTTTTTCGTTGCCGTTGTTTGATTCTGCCATATATGTTTATCAATAGCTATTTTGTATAGATCCCACAGCTGCCACCATGTGCAATTATTTTTCGAACAATAATCCCCCTTAATGTCAATACACTTAGTTTATATACATCAGGTTACGTCATTGGTTAATATTAGTAATAATGGTTACTATTTGCCATATCACACTACATATAAACTCTTGTAATAATATACACATACACACGAAATTCACTCGCAAAATTTCATATGAAAACAACGAGAATCCCTGAAATATTATCACAAATGAATATTAGATACTCGAACAACAATATTTCATAAAAATATTTTAAAAAACCAATGAACCAATGTACAAAAAATGTACATTCATTAATTCTTCCGTCAGCCATTAGGCGTATATGTCAAATAGTTCTCGCGGTGGTGTCCTCGCAATCGTTTTCTGCATGCTCTCTATATATGGCAATCTTTAATAGCTAAATGTTTTCGTGATTTTCACGGCATACAGTTAATATATTAAGGCCAGGCATTTTCACTCTGAGGCTATAATCGTTGAAGGAACATGAAAAACATTTTCAAGAAACTGTCCACTTATACCTAAGTGGGAATTATAGTAGGCTATTTATATTCAAACTTGCTAGTTTGGCTCGATAACTCAATATATGGTATGGAGCGGCGGTGTATAGTTGTCCGAAGTTGCCAATTTGAACCCGCTTGAGATAACTGGAGATAATTTCTCGTTGCTATATTTTAGTGTCAGATTGCTATTAATGAATTTAATTTTTAAGAACTCAGAGGACGGTTCGGTTACTTCTGTAAGTGTATGCCATACGGCATTTAAACAAGGCATCTATGTGAGTGTTGAAAATTGCTAAAATTATTAACACATTTTTTTAACATTTGTAATTTCAGAAACTTTGCATATCTATGACGGGTTTATCTATCCTGCGGCATCTACACTCAGCAAATTTTTGCCATCTGGATGGCAGACAAGTGTAATTAATAACAGAAGGGCTTTCTTCAAATTTTTTTTGGAAAAATGGAATAGTTTTAACGTAGACTCTTTCACTACTACCTGTGAGCTATTGGAATTACTGGAGAAACTTGAATGTCTGTATGAAGGAACTATTGCTACTTGGACATCTGACATGCGTCGAGATTCTCGTCGCCATGATGTCAGTTATAGCAAACTTAAAATTTGGGAGGTAAGCCCAGAAGTCAACAAGTTTAAGGATGTTTAAGATCCGGTTAATAACATGACGCGATAATCCTACGGACTCATATATGATCTACCCGGTGGCCCCCAAAATACTTTATCTCTGTTTGAATATAACTCAAACACTAAAAAAGCTATTGCAGGGCTAATATAGATTCTGATGTAAAACATACAATTATGCTATGAACTGGGATATTAAGATAATTACTATTAAAGGCCCATTTAAACAGTATAAACAGTCAAGTGAATTTATTTAATGAAATAACATTTCCTGATTTGATTAGGTATATCTTTTCACAAATATTTGAGGCAATGCTTCCTATAGCAATTATATACGTTTTTTTCATTATATATGTTTGAATCTTATAATAATTTTCATCATTCATGCAATCACTATTCCATTCAATTAGAATCAGTAATAATCAACCGATCTTTCGTTTAAACCGAGGAGATGACTGGCATTTTGGGATGATTTTGTGTAAAAAATAGCAATAAAATTAAAAAATAATATCTGCTTTTCCCAATAGATTTTTGAGGAAATTTTGATGCCAACTGTCCAAAAAAGCTTGAAAATTTTGGAAAGTGACACGAACGATGCGAAAACTAAAGTCGCTGCAGTGATGTCGTCAGTGTTAATAGTATACGTGTTTACCAAGTATCACATTTCGCTGAAGACAGAAAGAAATGAAGCTTTATTGAAATGTCTAAAACTACCAGCAGAAAGAGCTGTGTGCCTAGAATTTGTAAAAAGGATTGGTGTTTTTGACAAAGATGTTTTGAGGTAAGTTTTTGTTATTGCTTGTACACGAGATTAAAATCATATACTAGAAAAACATGCATGCAAAACCCCCTCGCCAATTTAGGGCAGTTTAGGGCAGTTTAGGGCAGTTTAGGGCATATTTCCAACAGTAAACGGTTATTGTACTCGTAAATACCATTGAATATAAGTTGTTATTCGAGCTATCAAATTCATTTATAGATGTGCTATACGAATACATCCAGTTCGATATAAATGCTTCACCGAATTTTCAATTGGTTATCCTTTTAACTTAGCTTTAACCTTTAAACTTAGTTTAAAATAACTACTTTCCCAGTTTCAATGGACGACTTGCAGTAAAGTGCAATTTTTGATCGAAGTAATAATAAGAAAATAAAACATCTAATACTAAAATTAATGCGAAGGCAAAATTTGTAGTTAGAAAATTTTGTAAAATACGGAAAATACAGCGATCCAGAGTTGGGAAATTTTCTAACACCTTTGTATCAACTGTGAGAATGTGTAACTAATTTAGTTACATACTTCTCCCAGTAATACAAAAGTTTACCAAAACTTCCCAACTTCGCATGAGTATTGTAAAGGCCATTCGACACCTTTCATTGAGGTGGTGCACTAACGGTGCAGCATTACTAAGAATCATTAAAATGCTACTTGTTAAGCTGAAAAAACGTTACTAACGCATTACTAACGGTCATTAAAATGCTGTACGCTAATTTTGACGATACTTTGAAAGAGATGTATGTAAGGAAAAAGTCATGGAAGATTTTGTCAAGCATTTGGTTTGACGTGTGTTTTGTCTGAGAAGAAATGAACAAACCCAACAGCCCGAGGTATTTCGCTCTTAAGACAGTCATTTTAGACTTACACCAAACATTAGTCGATCGTGGTGTGGAGTTATTTACAGAGAAGATATCTCAGACACTTTGCTATTTACTCAAACAAACCACCTATGCAGTACAAGAAATGTTCGTATGTTTAGAAAGTGCGTTTTGATCATCCATATCGCTGCAGCATGCACTATGAGTTGGGAAAGCAATTGGTGGTATGCTGTTATAAATTCTATGCTAACATGTGATCAGATGGTTTTATCCAACCTATGGCCCTAGAATATCAATTTCTACCTCTCACTACTTGTGGCCAGCATCATTCAAGTTTAGTTGCATTTCTTCGAAGGCTGTATTATACTTCTTTGCTTTGCTTCTTCTATTAACGGTATCAATTTCTTCCCCAGTCATCAGAGTCAGTCATCGTCGAACTTCCAGACTGTTAACATTTATACTCATTAATAATATTTTAATTAATTAATACTTCAAGTTTATATTATTGGCATAAATTATAGAGAGCATTACAGTAATATATAGAGATCATCGGACACGATGCTGTAGCGTTTATGGTCAGCCATTGTTTATACATATTGTTTGTTAACGTTCTAACGGATCCTAAGGCTCACATCAGTAGGATAGCACACCAGCTCTTACACTATATTTTTGCCCGCTGCCGATCGGTAGGGATGGAGACGGTATCCGAGCGAAACGATCGGGCTAGGGGTGAAACGGTGTTTCTTTTGAGTTTGCTGTTTTCGGGGCAGATAATAACTCTACGAACCATGCTATTTTAACGGTACCTCCTCCATCCCGTGATCAACTGTCACACGTGAGTCACTGAAGTAAAACCGTGGAATAAACGATACGAACATCAAAGTACACAACACACACACACAAAAAAAGAAAAATACCTGTAAATGTGGCGATCATTAATAAATTTACCTTTACCCCAAACACCAATTCAACGACCAAAACGGGTGTGAAAAGAACTGTGCTTAATCCTGCAAAACAAAAACTAACCAAAAACCAGCGAGATTAATAAGACGCTTCTTCCGTAGAGTTCACAACATCGCGTGAAGTCGTTAGGGAAAGGGAGGGATGGGTCACGCAAGCAACTAACAACTCGATCAGGCAAGCTGGGCTCATATTTCTACTCACAGGAGGGGGCAAGTAACCGACCGGACCAGCGTACTAAGACCCGAGACACTACGATACGAAGACCCGTATAACATTAACTTCTTTTATTATTTAATAATAAATACATCTAAGCGAGAACTAAAGACAATTATGTTAAATATACTCCATTATTATTCGAAATAAACCAAATAATCTAACAGGTTACGGGCCCAGGAACGTCGCTATGGACAGTCGAACGATAAAATGGCTAGTTTTCGATGGAAAAGCTGAGAATTATCCAGCGTGGAGTACGAAATTTGTTGCGTACATGCAAACAAAAGGTCTGTATAAAGAACTTCTCGGGAAAGAGGAATTGAGAAAATAGCACCGTTCGCGGAGGAGGCTTCGAATGGACAAAACGCCGAATGGAAGACAAAAGTACAAGAAAGAATTGAACAAATCTAGAAAAGAAATGAAAGAATTAACACGGTATGGTGTCACATTGCCCTAGCTCTCGATAATAACAGTCTCTTATATATACGACACGACTACCTGTCACCGGAGGGTACTGGAGACGGAGGAAAAGCTTGACGTTTGCTGCAACAAAGGTATTCTAATGTTGACAAACCAACTGTTGTAAGCTTAGTTCGTCAAATATCCTGACTACAATCGGGCGAAAATGAAAAATTAGCAGAATATTTCATCCGAGCACAAGAACTCATGTCTCGACTAACCGAAGCTGGTGAGAAAATATCAGAAACACTGTTTAATGCCCTAGTTATAAACGTAAAGGTATGAGCACTTTGTGGTACAAGAAAGCTTCAACCCAGCAAGTAATTTCACCGAGCTGCGAACACGATTACAAAACAACCATCGCCAGAAATTTCGGACATTTGAGCCCGCGCATTTTTAAGCAGCGATCTTCTTTCAAAACATATATCTATATGTGTCCTTATGTATCCCCCTTCGCGATCCCAATTTATCCATTAAAACCACAAAGTCGAAGTAAACATGGCTACCAGTCGCTCCTCAAAACGTTCTTACAAAATCGTGGACTATACGCAACTATACGCCCTTTCATCAGTCGTATTATACGACACTGCGAAGAGACCGAAGTTAAGAAAGAATAGTGGGTTTTTTGAAGTCGAAAGAATAATAACAAGGCGCAGAGTTTCCCACGTGAGTAATGTCTTCATTTCGCGTCTTACATGTTTCATAGTAAATATTGGATTATGCTTTTATATTTTAATGCATAGTGTATACTTTTATTGGCTCACATAATGTCATTAAATCATAGGAATCATGTTTGTTTACAGGGCTACGAATACTTAATAAAATGGAAGGGATGGCCTCTGGAAACATCCACCTGGGAACCTTCAGAGAACCTAACACTGGATCTGTTGAGGTAAGTTTATGTTTTATAAATAACCCAAAAGTTGAGCTAATAGAATACTGTTTGATATACTGTAATTAAATAACTTTTCCAGAGTTAAAAAATGGCTTCAGTTTTGTGAAGGGAAACCCAGGATATATTTCTTACTTTGGATTCTTTATATGCTATTATTATATATTTGATTCTATATTTAGTATACTTAATTGCATTTTATCACTTTTTAATAATCAAATTATTTTTGAATTTGCAGAAACTATGAGGAACCTCCAATAATGGATAAGAGACTCCAGGCGGCATCTTTACTTAATTTGCTTGTGGTGTGACTGGTGCACTTCGAAGCCAGCGATCGGCACCATTCTATGTCTCCATGGACTTAGATGTATGGAGAAGGGACTCCCTGTCAGCACCGTGGGCATCACTTGTATGAAAGAAATGATTTCTGTAGGTTTAAACACCCACCCGATGATTGGTGGTGCAACCTTAATGAAGATGGATATGGCATTTCGGTCGACTTCCCTTTGAAAGCCAAACCAACATTAACTTGGTCGCCAAGGAAATTTTTCAAGAAGGAGGGTAAAATGTTGGAGGTGAAATGTTGTCTTCGGAGATGCGGAACGTTTCAACCGAACTCTAGTGGAAATGGGACGATATCTATTAATCCAAGCACGGTTACCAAAACGCTATTGGGCAAGAGCCTTATCTACAGCAGTTCATATCAGAAATCTCACCGTTTGTGCCAACAGCAAAGAAGGTAAAAGTCCGTTCGAACTCTTTACCGGAAAACCCCCAAGACGAAATCATCTACGATTCTACATCTAGGATTCGAGATCAACAAAAGCTAGATTTTTCGGAAGAATACAAGAATTCGATTCGAAGAAAAGATACGGATTCCCGTACACGTTCAATGCGACTAAAGATGAAGACATACAAGGGCCCAAGGCATATAACCAAGCTGTTAATTCGCTGCAAGCTGTAAACTGGCGAAAAGCTATGAAAGCAGAGTATGATTCACTAATGGAAATAAGGCATAAACACTAGTAAACGAACCAGAGAATAAACAAGTTTTACCTGAAACATGGGTCTATAGGGTAAAACACGGAGCCAATGGAGAAGTCCATAAATTTAAAGCAAGATACGTAGCCAAGGGTTATGCTCAAGTTGAAGGTCTAGATTACTTTGACACATACGCTCCAACCTTCGATCCGGAAAACGTCCGCCGGAATTCTATTACCAACAGCTGCACAAAAGGATTTGTATCTTGGCTGGATGGACGTGAAGTCGGCCTAACTACACTCCGAGATAAAAGATGACTACCTAGAGCAATCACAAGGTTTTACCAAGTAGGCAAATTAAGGACAAAAGACGGTATGCAAACTTAACAAATCAATCTAATGTTTAAAACAAGGTGCAAAGAATTGGTACGAAGCGTACGTTGACCAAGCTAGAGTCATCCGCAACGAGAAAGGCTTGGACTTGGATAAAGATGGATAAATCGTTAATAAAAACAAGAAAGCCTTGAGGCACGCCAGATTTTATCAAGGCAGGTGATGGTCATTCAGGAACCATTTAAACGATCTTAACGTCAAGGGTGTAATTCCATATTGTTCTAATTTCTGCAATAATATGTTATGATCGACTAAGTCGAATGCTTTGGAGAAATCAATAAGAGCCATTCCATTGATCAAACCTTGCTCAATATTATTAAGATGGTGTTCATAAATTAAAATTAAAGTAGATTCACAAGAATGGTGAGCTCGGAAACCATGCTGACAATTCGACAAAATATTGTTTTCACTAAGAAATTTCAAATATGAATCAGCAACATGACGTTCGAGGAGTTTGGATAGGATAGGTGGTATAGAAATAAGTCTGTAGTTGCTTCTCTCGGTAGGGATTTCAGCCTTATAGATTGGAATCAGTCTGGCTTTCTTCCACATGTTGGGAACGATTTGAGGGTATTACAAATGTGAAGTATAATAGGTGCCAATGATTGAAAGTCAAGAGATATTGAGAAGATATTGAAAGAAGATATTTAAAGTCAATTGAATGGACGACTTGCGCTTTAGACTAATTTCTTACCTCGGCGATAAAAAGGACATTTTCTGAAAGATCTTACTAAAATTAGTAAAACTGCCAAGTTTGGCTGCGAATTGTTGTAAATTACGGAAAATATAGCCATGCGAGGTTGACGAATTTTGTATACTTTTGTATTACGACCGGAAGTTTGTAACTAAATAAGTTACACATTTCCGCACGTAATAAAAAGCATACAAAATTTTCCAACTTCGCATGGTTATATTTTCCGTAATTTACAAAATTTCGCAGCCAAACTTTGCATTCGCACTAATTTAAGTAAGATCTTTCTAGCTGTGATGATTTATTATCTTCTAGTTACTTCGATCAAAAATTAGTCTAAAGCGCAAGTCGTCCATTAGGAATATAGATTAGAATACCTCCACCGGAAACATATGTTCTATCTTTCTAATAAGGTTAAACTCCTCAATTTGCAATTCTGCATCAGACCAGCTAGCGTTTAAATGAGTTTGAGAGAAGCAGAATATGATATTGTTTTTATTTCGATCCCTAATAAATTCCAATTGCCTTGGTCCAATTTATTTGTTATAGCCTGAATGTTTAAGTGGAAAAAAGTTAGGCCTTTTGTAGGAATTTGAATACAGGGATTGTCGATTAATGTGATATTTGGCATGGATTGGTTGGAATTCAAGCCGTTTAAAATATGTAATCTAGTATTGCTAAAAGTGCTGAATAAAGTTAATTAAGTTCCTCAAGTTTACAATTAACATTCTCAAAGAATTCAAACCTCAATGTGATTGGTGACTCAGATGCTGAGTGGTCTCGACAATCGCAAGTCAACCACAAGATACTACTTTTGGTTTGAAGGGAACGGTGGCGCCATTGGAGGTAAAGAAACAGGCAACCGTTGCACTTTCATCTGCAGAGGCAGAGTATCAAGCCAAGGCGACAGCTGTCCAAGAAGTTATCTACTTACAAACTCTCCTAGAAGATCCTGGTATACCTATGAAGAAACTGACTGAGACATTGGCAAAGACACCTAATCATGCATAAAGATGTGTAATAATCCATAAACGATCCAAACATCTGGATACGAAATTACATTTCATAAGAGGAAGAGTGGAAAACAAGGAAGTAAAGATTCATTATGTTTCAACTGAAGAAATGCCACTGGGGGTATTAACATTCATACTTCAAGTTATACACAGTTTATATTATTAGCATAAACTATGGAGAACATTACATAAATATATACACATTATCGGACACGTTAATCATACGTTGTTTTAACGTTTATAATTAGCCATTGTTTCTAAATATTGTTTGCTTAGCCAGTACAAAAGACAAAATATATAGAGATTACTTCATGGTTAGCGAGTACGTACGATTTTTATGCACGAGTTGTGAAGGATCGCAATACGAACGAGTGAGCGCAGCGAACGAGTGAGTTTTCGATCCTTCGCAACGAAAAGGCAGATATTAAAAATGTTCTTCAAAACCTTGTCTTCCGTTAGTAGATTACCCCCCCCCCCATATAGCGAGGAAATCACGCACCGGGTGGACCCCACGCGGGACGTCGGAAACTATCGGATTTTCCCGAATATATGCGCGGTCTCCATGCAGGATGAGAGTGTGACGTTGGTAAACCGTAATTAATTACACAGTAAGGATTTGCGAGGAAAATATTTTATTTGTGAGGGTACACATTTCGTATGTCAACATTTTAATAGTATTTTCATAACATTAGGACTGTTTATTTTAAAAGTTCGTTTTCTATGTATGCTGTGCGATACTTCCCCTCTGTTAGTTCATACTTTAATTTTTATTTGTTCGTAACATGTGTCAATATGTCCATAACGAATGCACGAGCGCCATATTATTTCCATACATGCACCAATTTTCATGTTATCAACAAGAACATCCAAGATTTCATAACGTTTGTCAATATATCCATGACGAACGCACGCGCGCCAAATCATTCGAATAAACCGTTTGTTTGTAAATGTTTGACTTTCATCCTAGATAGGTATCCATTTTTCTTTTGCCTTTTCCGTCAGTTCATTTAGAATTTTATTTTCAAGACTGGAAAAACACATGTCGATACGTTGTATAAGTTCGTCTTTCCATGAAAATTTGATGTTGGCTGTCATAATATCGAATGATAAGTAATATGCTGTAGCGTTTTCACAGTAGATGAAGCACCTTCGGTTACAAGATCCTCCTATTGTTAACTAAACTCAAACCTAATAGCTCTTTTAATGTTGGTGACACTGCGATATTAATGAATTGATCAGACAATAGAGGGATTAATGTGAATATAATTACGCCAGAAGCGTTGCATTGAAACGTTTCCCCTGGTCAGTTTGCTAACAAATATTATACACTGAAGGGTTCGGGAGAAAATTATTTTACTCAATTTAGTAACCCAAATAGCGAGGTGGCTATTTTAATTTTAGCGACACTGGGATTATAATGAATTGATCAGATGTAGAGGAATTAATGTGCATATATTCAATTACGCTAGAAGCGTTGCATTGGAACGTTTATAGTGAGGGATTCAGGAAAAAACCTGTTCTCTTGCTGTTTATTAATATGATGTGATTAACATCAGCGAGATTTCGTTTACGTTCTTTTGTAAGTTTTGGGGTTCTTAAAAAAGAGCCTTTTTGTTGTTTTCTTCTTTTTCTTCTTTTCTTTGCTTTACACCTTCTCCAACCACATCGCGAAGGCCTCTAAGGGAGGAAAAAGGGGTATGGCGAATGGGAAAATGTATACATTTTTAGAGCGAAATATTGGTGTTATGGACAACGCGTTGCTTGGAAATCCGATAGTTTCCTACGTCCCGCGTGGGGTCCACGCGGTGCGTGATTTCCTCGCTATATGGGGGAGGGGTAATCTACTTCCGTTCGTATAATATTCTATAAAAATTAAGTGTTTATTCTTATTTACTATTTGAAAGAAATGGAATATCCGGCCTTCCAGGAGCAGAGTGGAAAACATATTTAACGACTGTTCAAGTCCATTCGCATGTGCATATATCTTAAAATAGCAGTAATCTCAGATTAGTGATGTGCGTTCGGAATGTGTTGATTTCGGTTAACGGTCAGTAACAAAAATGTCTGATTCAAAAGGTTACCCGAAAAATGAGTAATTTAACAACAGTGATTGCTCATATGCTTTAATTAACAACAAAATATCAAAATAGAGCGAGCACATGGTCTCCAGTTACTATGACGACACATCAGAACGAGGCAAATTTGACATCGCAAATCTCGATATGACACGGCTAGGAAGCGCTCTCCTTCGTCGAACGCAATTATTGTCAGTGGTTCTGGAATAGGTATAATGACTATTGTAACTACGTAACGTTTTCGTGGGGATCTATTATATTTTTTTTAGAACTGTAGAATTATTAGTATTTTACGCTCACAATGCAACTAAAAAAGTAATAGTTCGGACGCAGTTGACTGATTCTATGATTGATTTCTTGATAAAAAATTATTGTGCTGGAAATATTAAACGTATTTTAGGATCATGTATTTATATGATCCTAAAACATCGGTACCGTGTATTACAATATTTGCGTTTTAATTTGCGTATTCCTGTCTAATATAGTTCCTTTACAAAGACAATTCTCAAGTTTTACGAAGAACAATATTCTTTTGACATGAATTGGCTGTCTGCTTTGCCGTTGTTGCATTTCCTTCGACAGCAAGCCAAGCCATATGAGAACATAATTTGCTCCAAACCTGACTTCAGCAACTGGAAGTGGTGGGGATTAGATCAGTTACCCTACAGAGATTTTCGAAGCAACGTGACTGAAAGGTTTGCTTATTTTATTCTAAGTAGTAAGACATTTACGTACGTATGAATTTTTGGCATTATGTAAATAAACATACACTTTTTCACGCGCAAGTAACATGCATTAGAGAATTTCAGAAAATCCCATTATATTTACTACCATTTGCAAATTGCAAGCGACCGTTCGGCGAAAACATTTTCACACGTTTTATTACGTCTCACGCGTTTTATTACGTCACTGATGTCAGGTGAACCAAATATAGACGCTAAACTAATTAGTTTAACCACAGTTGATAGAATATATACATGGTTTGGAGACCACATAAAACTACAACACAACTCATTAACTATATTCATGTAGATTTATGCAAAAAATTGTCCCTCATCACGTGTCTCATTGTATTTTACACAGATAAACCAATAGCAATCCTATAATTAACATATTTTTCAAGTCAAGGTTGAGGAGCTTAGCGAGGAAACGCCATTGGTACGTTTGGCTCAAAAACAATAGACACGTGACGAGAAAGGAACCATTTTTTTCACAAATCTGGACACTACATAGTTAATGAGTCGTATTGCACTTTTATTTAAGGCTGCTTTCCAGTTACGCGTTTTTTATACGCACGTGAAAGTCTAAATCCTTACATAGCTATGCTATCTTTAAAAAAAAAGGTGAATAAATCGAAAGGACTTAGTTTTCCGCATATTTTAATTCGCTCTTGTAGACCTGGATGTTAAATAATAAAAATTTAGAAGCATTTCAAATTTTCCGTGCGTGTAGTGCGTATAAAAAACGCGTAACTGAAAAGCAGCCCTAAGTTTCCAAACTATGTATATTATATTAACTGTGGTTTAACTGGGTTGACAACGTTTGACTAGCCTAAAGAGTCGGCGTCGTCCGGTACATAGGACCGTTCGGCGTCGCTTTCGATCCCACGATTGACCTCCGGGTTTCTGTCGCTGGTCAAGATCTCGTCCATCCGTTTTCTGCGTTTTGCAAAGTTTCAACCGATTGAAATAAACAATTTGTTTCTGTCCGGTCCCGTTCTCGTCCGAAAGCAGTTCACGTCCGAATTTTTTTCCACGATAACGTAAGGTCTCAACCGCGGCTGCCTGAGCTTCCTTGACTCTCCTTTCTTGGTTGCTGAATTGAAAAGCCAGACTCGGTCACCAACACCAAAACTACAACCTCCGCGTCATAGTATTCACGAGCGAGTTCGTGCGCGTTTTCGAGCCTTTGCCGTAACGCCACGACGGTTGGTTGTGTCTTCAAGTCGATCTGCAGGGCTTTCGAACATAACGTCCTCTGACAAACGATAAAATTGATTTCGTTGTATTAGTAACTCTAGTAGGCTCCGATATGATCTGGGATAGGTTGTAGATATTGCAAATATTAAGATTTGTGGTATTGCAATCGGGGCTAGCAGACATAACATAACTTTTTAAGATGCAGCAACTTTATATAAAATGCAACAACTTTATAAAAGATGCAGCAACTTTATAAGATATATACAGCAATATGCACATAATGCAGCAACTTTATATAAAATGCAGCAATTTTATAAAATGCAGCAACGTTATGGTTAACATGCGGAAACTTTACATTATTTACTGCAATTATAGCTAATTACTGCAATATTTTAATTTGCAGCATGCAGCATGTCCATCCTAATTACCTCTTTAAGCAAGAGCCATATTTTTATTCATTTTCCAGCAATGTTTTAAACAAACCTGTAACGAGTAGCCGGAGCAGGAATATATTAAACATGCAATAGCTATTCACAAAGCTTATTGTGAAATTCATGAATAATTATCATTAATTATTGCAATCATTGCGCAGTATTTTGGTCACATGTTTACATCTGTAATTCTCCATAAAGGTCTCATGACTTGTTATTAATATATTAACTTTGATACAACCAATCTTAATCAGTATTCATAACTTTGTTACACACACGCCCTAATATGCATTAAGCTTAATTTATTCATTTCACAAGCAGGTTAAAATACTCGCGGCCGATCTGTATGGGATCTCTGGATCGGCCACTCGTATTTTAATTAGTACTAATGATATGCAAAGTAAAAAATAAGAATATACGCTTGGCTGAGCAAGCATAAATGTTTAAGGCGATACGGGGAGTATAAGTATGGGAGAATTCCTCAGATCTAGCTCAGTTTTTCCAGCGAATAAGTGCATGAGCAGGATGGACGGACCACCCTCCCACCCAAGATTTTCGGGGGCCGTAAAAAACGATTGACACAATTAACACCTAGTTCTAAAAATTAATAAGACTGAGCTTGTTTATTTCAAAGCTTACTATAGTTTCTTGTTAATATTCACGGATATTGTCGGGCGAGTACTGCATGCCTTTTGTCTCAGTAATTTTAAAGTTCACGCACAAGTGTTCGCTAGTATAATATAGAAATCGTCGCTGTATTAAAAGGGATGAATGTAGATACAGTTACATCGAGTGTGTGGATTTAATTTTATCTCACGCGAATATCGTTACACTGGCCGACTGGCCGCACATCCATTACGGTGATTCGCAAAAGCTCTACTCAAGTTTAAAGAGCATAGATATTTGTCAATTTCACTTAATTGCTGAAGATTGCCAACGACCTTTCAAAACATCTCGCCTTTGCGACGCCTGTGTTCAGGCTAACGTTTGACATGCTACGCGCACACGTTGAACAAACGTAACGGCACATTTCTAAATATACTCGGATTTGTTCTGTAGTTTTTACAATATGAATCTTGATAGTGATTTAAAGGCATCTAATTATCCATAAGTGCCTGCCTGGTCATTGATTTCACTCCTTTTTTCATTAATAGCAAAAATTCTTCCATATGTTAGAAACTGTATTTTCAGAAATATTATTAAATCACATGGCTGACAGTTGTCTGAAGATAGCTGACAAGTATCTCCATCAGCCTTAATCAATAATATAAATGCTTAAGTATATATGCTCTAATGTATATGCTTGTGATTTTTGTTCTACGCAGGAAAGCCATCGAAATGCTACCACAACTAAAGCATTTATTTGCTATGGATCATTTGCTGAGGCGAACTTTTCTGATTCTATGTCCTGTTGAAATCTATCGAGAGCTTTTCAAGACCGGATTTTTTTCTTGTTTGGAGTTGTGCGTCACATTGAGGAAAATACTACCAGATACGAAAAACAACCGCTCATACACACAAAAGTTTGTGAGTATAAATAAAAATACACAATATAGGGTGTATAAAAAAACTGCAACCACTTAATATTCATACATGTTCGCTTCTATTCAATAGCAAAAGATCGTAGGCCCCTGCGAATTAGTTAGGTTGCAGTTTTTTTTTACTGATACATCATGTAGACCTTTTCAGCTTTGATGCAAATTAGTTTTATTGGCTATATGATCACAACATCTAAAATTGGGTTAATTTGCATGCAAGCTGAGCTGGTCTATGGGATTCTAATTTAAAGATTAAACGAAACTTACCATAAATCGAGGTTTAATATATTTTATGAAAAATAGATTTCAAGACTAACTTCGACTTATGCAAGCCTTTTTAACTTTTAAAGCCTGCCCCAAAAGTTTCTTAACCGACGTACTAAAATGAGGTAATTTATTGAACCAACTTTTAAGTTTAAAAACGTGGTTATAACAACCAATTAGTTGTTTCACCAAATAGAATTAATCAAATTAGTTTTTTTCACCGTCTGATTTTACAGCGTTGCAACACTGCGCCCTATGGTACATGTTTTTAGTGCATGATTTTTGTCAAAGACAAACATATACAAAAGCTGATTTCTATGTATAGCTATTATTATTTCTGTTTTATCTACATAGGTTACTTATATTTTGTATACTTTTATAGGTAGATTATCTGGAATTGTTATTCAAAGAGATAAACCAGGTTTTATTAGAACAAAGGTATTGCAGATCTTTTTTATTGTCACCTACAGCAGCTTACTGAATGTTATGATTTTTTGTCACTCGATTATATTATTACGTTCTTTTGAAGCGAAGAAGAGTGTCCATTACAAGTTTAGAATAAAATATTCGTACAAACGAACGAATTATGAAATATTTGGTATATTTTATGTGTGGTGTGATCAATTTGACCAAGGCGTGATTTTAGATACAAACAGAAAACCATCAACAAAAATAGAAATCCTCATAAGATATTTATTACCGTCCAGTTTTATCATATGAGATAATGCTCAACACCTCGATATTTTTTTGAATAAGATAAGTTTTGGAAACGAATGTTTCGTAGGTAACGTTGGCTCGATACATTTTTGTGAAAAATCTTCCAGAACAGAACGGAACGTCGAATTGACTAAAATCCAATAGTAAAGTTCCATTTTTCTTCGCCACGTAACCTCGCAACACGCAGACGGTTATGAACGAATATAAATAATACATACAGTAAATGTGAGAGTTCAGGAATCGCTGTTGAAATTAATTCATTGACCCTATTAAGGCCCAAATCCGCGTTGCCAACTTCTCTTCATCCCTGTAAAATCTGCGATTTGACATATATATATATATATATATATATATATATATATATATATATATATATATATATACATATATATATATACATGCTTGTTACTATTGTATTCGAAGACGCCAGGTTTTATTTAATACTTATTTACTGACGCCGAAACCTCCGTTGTTGCCCGGGGCGAAGCCGAAGTCGGGTCAACAAAACACACTGCCTTCCCGATGTGTCAGTAAACCTAAGTGATTTGTTATTATATCTAGTGTCAAAATGAAAATAAACCGTAGGCCAAAGAAGAGACAATTTCTAGACAGTTATATGATATACTGTATATATATATATTATATATATATTATATATATATATATATATATATATATATATATTATATAAATATATATATATATATATATATATATATATATATATATATATATATATGTATTATATATGTATATATATATACAATTAAGTAAAGTATCCAAGAAGAAAGAGTGCTCGATATCAAAATTTATCAGCGCAAGCACGTCGAAAACGTCATCACACAAACTTTAACTGCTGTAGAGTAATCATTCGCCTGATGATCGTTTCAGAAGAAACGTGAAACACAGAGTGTAGCGAACAATATATTCAAAATTTTGTAACATTTCATTGATTTTATTTTTTATATATATATATATATATATATATATATATATATATATATATATATATATATATATATAAATATATATATATATTATATATATATATATATATATATATATATATATATATATATAAAATAAGGGAAGTTTAACGTAATCATGGAGATTTGAAGCCCTCCACGCGTGGACCTCTTGTCCAATAGGAAAGCAGAAAATATGAATTTTGACACTAGGTATATAACAATTATGTTTATTGCAATTATTTAGCGGTGTCATTATTATGTCACTATTGCATTATCGTTATAGATGAACTGATTGATAATCAATAAAGGAAACTCTTTATTGTGTCGTTTTCCGTGAGATTTTTATGTATAGCGAAATTAATATTTTTACCCCTGGGAATTTTGCTGCAGTCGCGTTACTAAAATCCTGCATTCTGAGTTCTGAGTACATTCTGAGTACAAAACTGTAGAAGCTCCGAATATGAATTTTTAGATTATACAATTCTATTCGAGTTATATTATAAATGTTCGTCGCTCTGGCAAATACAGCTTTCAAAGAGTTTTGACCTGGCATTTTTCGCCATAAAATTTGCATGTTTGCTAGGTTTCCATGCGTCAAGTTTCCAGGCGCCTGTTATTCCCCATATAACAATTTAACATCTCGCGCGAAAAAACTGTAGTGTGGAATTACATACCAGTTTCCCTATGTTCCAAACATGGAAAAAATGTTTCAAGCCGCCTTAAGACATATACCCTTAAATATTAAAGATCCATAGTAGAGGATTATCTGCATATCCCTTGACAAATCCCTACGGTTTCTTTACTATTTCCGTACAATTTCAGTATGGATTCTTTATTGTATGTATACTGACATGCAAAATTGCAAATTATTTATATATTATGATTAACGGTTAGAGACTGCTATGAGTGTTTTGTTCACAAATAAGTGGCCAGCAAGTGCGTTTATTTGTAAACAAAACACGAACATAAAGTCTCTAACGCTTTTAATATACAATCTGAGTTCATTGATTGGTGCATTGAAGAACCAAGCTTCGTTGCACGCTGTCACTTTTGAATAAACCACGATTTTCTTGGGTTATTGCGAATAAGCTATGACTAAGTGCGCCAGGCAACACGAAACCACGTGCTTGATTTTGACCAGTCGCGTACGTAGATTTAGGCGAGTGCACGAATATTGTATATTAATGAGCTATATATTATAATAATTATTATTGGCTCGAATAATCAAAATTACATAATATCATTTTTTGCTGTTTCAGTCCCCAAATGTACCCGAAGGAAAGACTACCAGAGACTTCGGTTTTAGTTAATAACTTGGTCTTACTTATCCAGTATTTTATTCCGAATCTCTATCTTCGTGACGTAATTGTCCTCTGTCGCTTGGTTGAATGCTCAATTACTGCTATTGCACTTCAAAAAAATGGAATTGATTTTGAAGACGAATCTGCAGCTGGAAATAGCCAAAAGAACAATTCCACTTCTTTTGAACTGAAAGAGATTCCAAAAGAACTGTCATCTTCCTTAAATAAGCAGCGTGGTTTTGTTAAAGAATTTATACTAAGAAAATTTTTTCGTAATGCCGAATACATTTCGCCCACTGAATGGAGCGATGAATTGCAGGTCAGTGATATTAAATTGCTTATATACCGCCTGTTGACTCAGCTATGATATAGTGGCAGCGAAGAGCACTTTGATCAAACGAACCAGATACTAACATTTCAGTATATAAGAGCGTCTTATGATTTGATCCAACATGATTGTCTAGTGATGAATGCGCGCCGGAAAATTCCCAGCGATCCTTGCAAGTAACATTACGCGATGTCAAACATTTGAGATAACAACTGAAACCAAGTCAGACCTTATCCTTCCATACAAAATTGTATTTCCGAAGCTCGTACAAACTAGTTTATAGAGAACTTTTGTCCAAATTACTTCCCCCATTCCATGTTTTTGTTTTTAGCGCAAAGTTTCTTTGCAGTATTGTGGTGAGTGGCGAAAATTCACATCAGTCAGTTAGTCAGTCAGTTATGCAGTCAGTCATAGTGTAAACTCCGGGGGGTGCCTTCGATTTATGCCTAATTCACTGATTGAAAGGTTATTTAAAGAATTTTAGTTTTTTTACTTAAATATTTTTCAAGCTTTTTCCAAGTTCGCAAAAAATTAGCTATAGAAAAATCTTTGTCGTTACTGTAAATTTCTGAAAGATTTGTTTCTTATGATGCGTGTGGTATATAAAGGATCTCCCGGAAAATGCTTGAACTACGAAAATGCGCATGTGCTATCGGACCTGAAAAATATTAACGAAGGAGTTCGACAAGAAAGGTGCAACAAAGTGTTGTTTTCAAACATTTTAGACGCGAAAGTCGATTAAATCCTCGAGAAGGTGCGCATTCTATAAATTTGTGTTCTGCGTTACGGGTTTCAATCCAAGGCAGATATAGTTTTGACGGTATCGTCATTCTACTGAGAACTAGGAAGGAATATTAAGGTAGCGTTGTTGTCAAAAAGCGATACATAAACGGTATTTGATGTTGGAGTATATTAACTGATTATTAACTGATTTTTTCGCCTTTGATTCCCACAATCCACCAAAAGATAAAAAAGCAATTGTTAAGACCCTACTTGACAGAGCAAAAGACGTTCCCTCAACGCTTTTTTTGAGACACCTTGTAAATACATATGTTTTTTAAACAATATATTACAAATAATTGGTGCTGCGCATTACGAGTATTCGATGCAGTGCCTAAATTATTTTGCGATGTACAGTATTATACAGGCTCCAGGCAAAGCAGTATTGTTTTAAAATGTACAAGCAATTCAGAGGTGAAGTATATTAAACTTTTAAGTGTTCACATCATAAAGTTAACACCTTCTATACTTGACGAAGAGACACATACACGGTGTATTTTGTTAAAACCTGACATTACCGCAAAATTGTCGCCATGAGCTGCTTACCCTAAAATTCAATAATGACAAAATCGCGGCTAATGTAATTTGAGTACTTTTGAGTATAATTTTCCTTTATTAGCATTTTACGCAGCAACGCGTCTATCTAGTCAAGGACCTGTATATGAGTTTGTATGTATTTCATTTAGGACAGGTAAACTCATCTGCTTTAGGGTAAGTTAACCATGGCGGTCAACATGGCTGCCCTAACCATTACACAGGGCGAAACATCCGAAACTGACCACACCCAAAAACGGCTCATTCAGGATAGTGCTATCTGCCAAACCAAAAAAGCTTTGACTTATCTGAGCTGCTTATATGGTTCAGAGATGGTGCTTTTAGGGGTGGTCATTGGTAAGTAGAAAATGCCTAGCACTAATACTTTACCAGAAAATGACCATGCAATATTGACTCATACACAAGTGTCAAGTAGTGACTTACATCTTTAAATAAACAGCAGTGGGCCTGCTCTGCCTTTTTTCCCAAATTTTTTATATATTTTTTTAATTTCAAGTCCTTTATAAAGGTCATATTTTTTAATTCTGAAATTAAAAGGCCTTGAATGTAAGAAAAACAATGCGGAATTGTTAACAACCGCCACAGGATGACACAATGGCGCCGTATTTGGTGAAAGTTGGGGTTTTACGTTGTCGATGGTTAAACACTTGAAATCTACTTGAAAACTTAGGAAAACTTGTTATAAAAATGTATATGATATTATTATGTCTCGACCGACTTTCATATTCTGAAGGATTCAAACGATTTTCGCTGATAAACAGAGAAGTGAACTTGGGAATCGGCGAAATGCTACCATTTATGGGAAGTAAGTAAATTTTAAATTAATATTTCAGTCACAAAATATTAACTTTTTTACACCAAACAGTGATAATATATTTAAAAATGTACGACTTTTGTTTTAATAAATAAGATTTGGGAAAAAAGGCAGTGCATGCCCACTGCTGTTTATTTGAAGTTGTTAGCCACAATTTGACACTTGTGTATGAGTATTGCATGGTCATTTTCTTGTAAAGTATTAGTGCTAGGCATTTTCTACTAACCAATGAGCACCCTTGAAAAACACCATCTCTGAACCATATAAGTAGCTCAGATTAGTCAAAGCTTTTTTGGTTTGGCAAATAGCACTATCGTAAATGTGCAGTTTTTGGAAGTGGTCAGTTTCGGATGTTTCGCCCTGTATTATGGTTCGGGCTGCTATGGTCAACTTACCCTAATACAGCTGAGTTTACCTGTCCTAAATGAAATGCATACAAACTCATACAGGTCCTTGACTAATAGTAAGTTTTCACATCAAGTTAGAGGACAAAGGTTTTTCTAATATTTCTCTCTAGCTATAGGTGTTGGAGAGATCAGGCGTAATAAATCGAAATGTGTAAACATTTTAGAGGAAATTATACTCCATTCATGATTCGGCGCTTGGTTTAAATTGCACTATAGAAGTATGCTTCGTCAACTGCTCTCGCGTTATATAATTGAATCCGAGTTACAGTATGTTTAACCTGGTACTTTAGTTTCTACCAGCATTGAGAAGGGACAACCCTGCATGAGTATCATGTTTAGTATATAAATATGGCTGGCAGATTTTACAACGCTGTCTTTGAGTATCAATCAGGTTGGGTTACGTCAGGACACACATCTGGTGCTTAAACATCGAGACGGCCTCGAAACTGCACTAACCTTGGATCCCTAGTTCGTCAATGCCTTTACTGTACAACTTTCTATTACTTATTGTCTCACAACTCGAGAGTCAAGGTTTATAAACTAAATTAATTAATGTGTAATTAATGTTATTCGCCAGTGTGCATGTCAGTGTATAGACGTGAGGTTGAAATATATCTTTGCATTTCGGCTTTGTACTTAGTTGCGTTTGACGGGTCAACAGGGCTGAGGCTAGAACGATATTTGGGGGCGTGTTTATTCATATGTTCAGTCCTGCCGGCGGATTTAAGTGAATTGGCTACAAAAGAAACCCGTCGGGCAGAACTGAATATAATTATATGCAATAAACACCCCCAATTATCGTTCTAGTTTCGGCCCTATATGGGTAAACGTTTCAGCAATGTTTAGTTAAGCGAGAAAACCCTATGAGGATGCGAAAAAATAACACAATCTTTCTCGGTATATAGGCATGGAACCAGCTGCTATCATTAGCTGCCCCAGAAGTTTTCTATAAACAGTGGAAAGACGAATTTCTCAACAAATTCCAGGAAAGAATAAACAAGGTATGATTAGTATATATTAATTAAATAATATTATTTTTTCAATGATTATATATTTTATCTGTAATGAATGACAAATGTTGCAATTTCATTGACTACGAGGAGTGTGATTTCAGCATTAATTGCACCCTTTGAGAGTTGTAATTCCACTCTTGCCCTTAGCCAATAACTATTTTACAAATGACCAATAACCATTCAGGTTATACAAGATATGAATTGCAGAAGTTAAATTATGATTAATTTCAATAATAAATGGCAACTTGTGTTATTTTATTGGCTTAGAGGAGTGCGATTTGAGCATTAAATGCACCCTTGTATTTAAGCGTACTGATGTACACTTTTGCTCCTGGCAAATAAAAATTGCTCTTAACTTTTTAAGTCATATTCAAAATGGTAAATCAAAACGAAAATAACTCTTTATGAAAGAGATTATTTTAGGAAATGCTACCGAACTGAAGATGCCTTCTTCATCGTTTATATAACTTTTCTAAGCTGTTAAAAATAATTCTCCATTATATTTTTTTTCTTCTAGCAGTCTGATGAATTCCTCATAGACCGAGTCTGTAAAAATGAAAAACTTTTATCTTACATTTCGCTGACCAATCTCTGCAATGTGTATTTCAATGCTTTAATTTTAGGTTTCCGAACTTCGTCAGATTGAGCTATATTGTCAGGCCGGTGACAAGAATTGTAATCCAGAGATCGTAAACTCTTTGAGCAAAACCGCTTTCGAAGCTGTAGAAAAAATAGTGGAAGTGAGTAAGCAAAAGCAAATAAATAATAAAAATCCCACTGAAGAGAGCAGAATGTTTGAATTATTTTCTGTTGGTCAGCCTCTGTTTTTTATTTACCCTTATATGTATTTTAGCGAATATATCAACCAATTAAAACCTAGACAAATTAGTTTTTAATTAAACTCGGCTTTTTTCGAAGTTGAAATGTTATAACGGCAATGCTTTTTTAGAATGGTAAAGGAGAACAGAACGCTTTTACTTTATTAAGTAAGAACAGAGACTCAGCTAATGGTATAAAACTGCTAAGGTCAATGCTGGAAAAATCTTGGCCGCGTGAACTAAAGGATAATAGTCAATTAAATGAAAAAGAGAGGGGTGAAGTTTTGCTGAAGCATCTTCTCACATGGTCAATATGGCCTGGATTTCTCAAATTTTTTGGTAAGAAATATATTCCTTTAACCTTTTTTTAAGTATACGTGCATATATAAATTTCTATTCTTGCAGGCTAGCTCTTAGGAAATTGACTAGGTCGACGAGAACAGATAATTTTTCCTCTCTTTCTCTTGCAAAATATTGAGTGAAGTGCATTCGATGTAAAGCATTTTGTGCACTAGTGACCTCAGACAAAGAGAATCCCAGATTCTTGGGACAAGTCTGAACAAGCCTTAAGCCTTTTAAGACGAGATAGTTTTATATGAAAATTTTTTTTATGACAAGTTTTAATTGGCAATGGCAGTGTGTAGCCTATATAAATTTTCTATGACAATTTTTTTCTTTGCCAAGATTTATTTGCTCGTGTGAACGTGCCAACAAGTTTACTTTGACAATTTAGTTTGCAGTTAGCGATGAATCGTGCAGTGGAAAACGTAAGCGCGCTAACAGGCGCCATTTTAAAGTTTCATTTCTGAATAATATAATAACGTAAGGATTGTAATGTAATAATAACGTAATTCAGTCTTTTTCTTGTTCCTATCTCTATATATGATTCCGAATTAATATTCCATAAACTCTCTCTAAACTTGACCTGAGCAGTTTTTTATCGCCAAATCCGTGAAGGGTACAGCGCTGTTGCTAGCTGCCACTGCAATTTCGAAAGTTGATTTTGAACAAGTGTCAAAAAAAATTGTCAACGTTGGGCGTACAGACGAACAATTAAAACTTGTCACATAAAACCTTGTCATAGAAAACTTGCTCGTCCGTAAGAGGCTTTAAAAGGAACTTAAAAACGTACAATTTATATATCAGTATACTATTTTATCAATTTAAAGAGAAATTTTTATTTAATAATTCGACATTTTATTGAGCTACAGCAGGTGGTCAAAAAATAGTGCCCCCCCCCATAAATAGTAACACCTTCAGTTGTTAGTCATAATGATTTTATGGGAAGAAGTCCCTAACAAATCATGTCTGATTGTGTATATTCAATTGGTTTAATATCTTTTTATTCAAAATTGGGATTTCGAGAAATAGGATGTGCGAAAAATTACACGAATTGTTCTCTACACTAAAAGCCAAGATTGGTGCTTTGTAGCAAAGATTCAGTGAAATAATAACTTTGCTGTATATTTAGTGCCCAATATTGAACATTGTGTAATAATATTCACAAAGATAATTCATATAATTCAATACAAATGGCCTAAAATACTCTAACTAATTTTTGAAGAATAAATTTCATTTGTTATGATACAATCAAAAACAATACGTGAAGCAATGAATGTTCTCCAAACACAGTCAGCTTAAAGGACACAGTATTTGCATCCAAATGTAAATGGGTGCTTTAAAAGGTAATAAATTGTAGATATATGCTAGGATTTGTAGGTACAGCTCTTTATTAGGTGGATTTTGAGTACCATTTTCATTACCATACAAACACCCAGAGTTCAGAGGGGCATATTCTGTCATTTAGCGTCGTTTAAGCATAATTTTACACACGAGTCAAATTCCGAACAATTTGCTATGAATCAGACAGTTGTTTGGACAAACAATTACATAATTTCCATGCACAACTGATTAAAAACCGCCATCTTGAATTTTTACAAAAAGCTCTGCAAATCCATTTTATTATCTTAATCTGAAGTTTATAATCACAATTTTTATAAGCTGGCTCCTAAAACTAAAGAAATATGCTCAAATACACATAATATTTATTGGCGTACCTTCATTTATAATGCAAAGATACATGTGTGCCATATTTCGTTGGGGGTCACTTTTTTTTACCACCCCCTGTATATGCAGTATATTTGCGATTAAAAAACCCTTTACTTTAAAAACATGATACGAATAGTAAAGAAAAAGCTGAATTTGAACCAGAGTTCGTGTCGACTTTTTTTTATCATGCGAAAGCAGCTAAAAATATTCATGCACCACAGAAATCTCTCAATTGCAAAAAAAATTCAGTCTGACGTGATAACTAGCTATAATAACAAACATGAGGTAAATTTATGATAAATTGTATTAAATATTGATATAATTACCACGCATGCAGGTACCGTCCCTGAGGACCTTAATCTTAGCTGTTTCAAAGTTCTCAAGCAATGCATGCGTGAACAAATTTGATTGTCTTGTTAACGAGATGCTTTACAACAAACAATTAACACCGAGCTTGAACGTGCAAATGAATTCTATTCGTGCTAAAGTATTTATATATATATACTTTTTTATGTATCAAATATTAATATAAAAATGGGTTTTAACGTAAGCAAAAGCCAAAATATAACTCGACGATAATTCGCATTACAACGAAAAAAATATCGTCTTTGCATGATAAGCCTCGTTTCATGCCATGCGAAGACGCAATTTCTAAGTTTGCTTTAAAGCCGATATTCCTTGTCTATTAGCGTTTAATCATTTTTTTTTGCTTTTTGAAAAACGCTAAATAGACATTATTTGAAAATGATGTGACTTATTTTCTAGTTCTTATCACAAATAACTTCATACTGTGTTAGGTTATTGAACATAATTGTACTGGTACATTATAGTCTAGAACTAAGTGTCCGTTCAGGGCTCGCGTAAAAAGAATGGGTCAGGTAAAGTCTGGAGAACTCGCCAGTCACTTTATATATTTTACCACAAAGGGGCCTGGGTACGAGGATGCTATAATATGATCTACGCCGACCTCTTTAATTCGGATAGCAAAACTATTCATCGGTAAAATAATTATCGTTTTACAGGAAATTGCACCTGGGGTAAAACAGAAGTGACAGAGGGTGACTGCGGAATTATTATGGTGAGTGCTGTGTCGTGCATCGAAAATCTTGTAAACTCGGTCAACGATGGGACAGTTACAGCTGCAACATTGAAGGTTTTACAAGAACATTCCAAACAATTTTTGGAACTGTGTGAGGTGCATCAGACAAATCAGAGTGGCTCTCAACACGTTCCAATGAGGACCACCTTTGAGACACGACTTTCCGAACTGAGGGAATTTCATAATTTAAATGGCCAGCTGAAATGTTTTCTTGATCTCTGCAGCTTCAAACGAGGTATACTTTAAATTTTACTATTTTCGTCGCGACGAAAACTACACTACTGAATATACAGGGTGTCCCAAAAAACCCCCCAAAACCATTGAACTCACCCATAGCAATATAATAGCTAGAATTTGAATGCCTCAGCACCCTGTTGGGACCCACAAGTGCAGGGTGTCCCCAAAAAAGGCAAACTATTGAAATCACTATTGGATTAACGCAACTTAAAAAATGCTAAATAGGCCAACAACAAATTTGCTATAGAATTAAGGACATGTCGAAGGTCATGGTGCTTAAAGTTGTAAATTTAAATATTGTTATCCATATTTGTAAAGCGTATCCATATTTGTAAAGCGTATATTGGTAATAACAGTCAATTGTGAGTATACAAATAAATTTTACTGCCATGCATCATGCATAAAAATGCCTATGTCAAACGTCTATTTATACGCTTGTGGTGCTTAGGCATTCAATCTCTAGCTATTACATTGTTATGGTGATTTCAATGGTTTTGGGGGGTTTGTGACACCTTGTAGATGATTCTTTTGCTTGCCACGTTTTTGAGCCGTTTTTGTCCTTGCTCAATGCTCAAGATATGAAACGTGTCTATTCACATAATTTGAGCAAAAAACCTTCAACAAGGATCTGGGTGTTATAGATGTACGGGGATAATTATCCTTACCTGCCATTATTTTGGCCAGCGCCTTTTTCGTATTCACCGCTTGAGCAGTGAATATTAATTTCTGCAGTCCTTCACAGCAGCGGCATTACGTATATTCACCGCTAGCGCGAGAGAGGTAAATATTAATCATGAAAGCTGCCACGCAACTGGCGAGATTTGTAAGTAAAGAAAGAAGCGGGAAAATTTTTATACCTTACGTGTTACGTTTTCACAGTCAACGAATTTTCGGTATAATATATCATTTACAGTTTGGGTTTCGCCGAAATATTTTCCTCAGTAATGATATTAATATCATCACTTGTGGAAATATTTAGCCGAATCCCTTTTACCTGGGTCCTTAAATGATAGTAATTTGACGTTTGTGTCCGAAAATCCAAAACATTTTTCCCATTATAATGCCCCAAAAATAAACGGCACACGGTATCAAGGGGGGGTTTAGCCTCCTCGCCTCATACACCTATGGAAACTGGCATCCAAGATGGTCACACCTGTAGTTTAAACTTTTGAAGGCCGTCTTGAAATTTACCGTATGGTATTATATGTTAAACTTAAATTAATCCCGAGGATTTTCCTAGCCCGGTTGAGTCCAGTGTCCCAAAATTTGGGTGATTCTTGGTAATTTTAATTTTTTTAGTCGATGAAGTGCTTTGTGTCTTGAGCGAAAAAATTGTGCAAGACTTTAGTGTGTTATCAATACGGGATATATGCCTTCAAAGATCTGGTAGATTTGACGTAATATTCTTTAACCTCGATGACAAGTATCTTGATATGGTGTCCAGAATTACAGAGATAGAAAGCAGTCGAATTTTCGTAAAATTATGGCGGAAATACAGCGAGGAATTACAAAAGGAGGAAGTCACAATGGAAAATATTTTGCAAATTTGGATGAAAGTATGTAAACAACTCAAAGAAATAAGTGAACAGTTTCTAAACGGCGAAATGCTACTCAGGGACATTGATAAATACTTAGATTTGTTTAAGACGAATTACACTGATTTAGAAGGAGAATTCAAACTGCTTTCCTCGTTTTTGAGTCATTCAAAGAAACATTTGGATGAGACAGAGAGATACCTCGCTGCCAGAATTAAGCAAGTAAAGAGATATAAGAAGATTTCTGATGCTCGTCAAGCTGGGAAGGCAATTCTCCATCTAAAAGAAACGCTGGGTCTCACAGGCGATTTCTCAGTGGTTGAAAAGATAGAAGAGGTGAGATAATATGGTTAATCTTCTACAAACATAGATGTTTAGGACCTATGACTACTGCAAACATATTTATGCACGTAGACTTCATGTGGTCTTTTAAAGTATTTGCAGAAAGGAACACGTTCCTTTACACATACAGTATACTGTATACGATGCAAAAACACAGGGATATACGCATATAACTTATATTTTATCAATTAATGAAAGTCGGAACTTTTGAAAGTTGATTGGCTTAAAGGCTATCTTTCACAATTGACGCGAATTTTGCGCGCGTAACAGAATTTTCGCCAATTAGAAAACAGGAAGTTCCTCCGTAAGTTTGTTTTTCCCTAGCTAAATTAACCGCCAGGTTTTGGTGCCTCGATCCTCGAATTGCAGTACATTATTGTATTACAATATGATATAAATAAATGCAATAACATTTATTTGCAGATTATTAGTGGGAATCTAAAAGATGTAGCCATCAAAGACGTGGATGACAATCTATTTAAAGCTGGAGAACTGTTAGATGAAATAGACGAGATAAGAAGAGAATGTTTAAGGACTTTTACGGACTGTTTTGATTTAGTTACTTGGCTAAGAAAGAGTATAAATGGTAAGGACGTTTCTATATTTTCATCATCCTGATATAGATATCTGAATATAAATTCCCGAGAGAGGTTTCTTAATTTAGGTTACCGCGGGTATAGTGAAAATTACTTTATTTGACGTTGTTTTAGGCGAAGTAAAGTATCGCTATTCTTGCCTCTTCAACGAACTTCATTCATTTGATGTTTCTAATTTTGTAAAAACGCTATCATTTTCAAGTTTATGTTTTCAAGAAACTAATTTATTACTTTTTGAACTTCAGATGAACAAGAGCTCAAAGTATTTGTTGATTTGGCGATGATTTCAGCCGGGGAAGATGACATGGAAATTGACCGGATTTCGTGTATGCATACAAGTTGTCTTGGATTTGGATCGTTAATTTTCGGTTACAAAACAAAACATGGGTTTGATGAACTAATGCAACTTTGTAAACCTGTGTGGCACGCTGTTGACGCTAATCCAGGCATTGGACAAAAATTGGTAAGTTAAATAACATGTAGAGAGATTATACGCAAACAGATTTATTAGTTTAAATATTACTTGTGTATTGAATATTACTAATACGGCCTTAATAAACCTTTTGAATTATAGACCACTTTGAAAGGAAATGCAAGTCTAATCACTGCAGCTGAAAAGAGCATACTGAAATTAGTAGATATGAAAAGTTTGCATGGTTGCGAAATGTTGTAAAATGCCGGAAATATAGCCTAAGTTTGCAAATTTGTATACTTTTGTACGACAAACGGAAATTGTTACCATTTTTGACCTGAATGTGGTAACAATTTCTGTTGGTAGTAAAAGTATACAAATTTGCAAGCTTTGGAAGGCTATATTTTCCGTATTTTACAACATTTCGCACCCAAACGTTGCGTTCTACTAATTTAAGTATGCTCTTTTCAGCTGTGGTGATTTGATTGCATTTCCTTGCATAGATAAAAAAGTAGTCTATAATGCAAAAGGTCCATTCTTGTGATTGTCATCATCTAATTGTTGGATTGCACAAATATTTAATGCTTGAATATGTTATCAAGTTGTAGCAACGTTTGAGTCCAACACAGCTGTCCATGCAATATTGTTTGTTGACAAACAAATATCGTATTATTATCTTATTAGACGTGCATCTCGATTTTAGCGATTTTTGTTTGTCAAGATGATTTTGCGAGCAAATGTACCATAGTACTGCGGTTTCATCCTACGCCTGAAATATATATATATATATATATATATATATATATATTAATATATATATATATATATATATATACAAATTTAGTTAATATTTTACTTAAAAAATTATTCAAATTAAGAATAAATATTTATTTCTATCGAATTAAGGTATCAACTAAGAAAAGCCTGTCATGGTTGAAGCAAATAAAAGAGTCTCATGGTTCAGTTGCTCTTACAACTATGGTTCAAGTTGAAGCTATCAATTCCTGTGGTACCTATTACATTGCAGACACCGAGATGGCTAAAGAGGTTAAGCACGCGAACGCTGGAGTTGGATTAAACCTTGAAAATTTGGTGTGTCTCAATGTTCCTGAAGATCCTCAAAAAAATCGAGAAAGAAAAGTTTATAGTCTGGAAGAAATAAAGGACGTACAGAGTAAACTTATGTTGATTGCCGGTAAAGCAGAAAGTGGAAAGGAGGAAGTTGACAAATTTAATGAGGTTTGGTACTCTATTATTCTCTCACTTATTATATATCCCAGCATTTTAATTTCCAAGAATTTGCCTACATAATTACCAAGTACACTAAAAATAGGCAACCTTGTTATTTTACAAGAACCCGCATTGTGAATTTAAAAAGCTTCTAATAATATTCCTGGGCATAATGCAAACAATTTTGTTAATCTTATTTCAATGTGCATAATTTACATTCAATTTCGCTTTATACACCCGACAGCGTCGCGTAATTGCTATTATTCTAATTAGAAATGTCTGCGTCAAACGTGAGCGGGAAAAATTGTTTAAATTTAGCAAATGTTGAAGTAATTATGAATTTTTATGAAATTATATTGATTATTATTTGTAAACACCTCGAAATTTATATTAAAACAAATAGTCGCCTCGGCGACTAATTGTTAAATAGAAACACGCCTCTCGACCAATCAGCACGCGCGCACTTTAAATGTTATATATTATATAACATTTAATAGATATAAAATTTTTTTTAGATTTTCGATGGAATACTCAGAATAAGCCATTTGTACTTGCAACTTTGTGAAGTTGGTCAGATCAGCTACTTAACATGGAAAGATAAATACCAATGCAGTAAAGCGGATGACGAGAGGAACAGTCTTTTAGAGAACATTAAAGGAACCTGTGAAACAATGGAACGTGATTTAAAGAAATGGAAGGAATATTTTCATGATGCCAGAAACAGCTGTTATTCTTTGAATCATTTTACCATGAAACAGATTTTACACCTAAGGCTAGAGTTAGCAAAAGCTTGTGTTGGCCATGTGGCGATCGATGAACTGCGATTGCAGACTTTTATGCTCCTTGAGTCTGTTTACAAGAATATAGAGCCTTTGCTTCTTGCAAATGTCTTAAAAACAAAGGTTCCTGAAAACGCGGTGTTCTTTACAGAAGAAAGTTCTAAAGACGGAGAAAAATATTTTGAGAATGATATGGAATGTGAAAGCATTTCGTCCGAAAATATCGAAGAAGATGTGACTTTTCCAAGCCAACAGAGACGAAAGATGTCGCTTGAAACTTTTACAAGTGCAAAAGAGAAACTCGAGGGAATGGGTTTTGATGAAGAAGATATTGTTGCTGCTTTGCAAATTTGCGGTCGTGATGCAACTGAAGAAGATCTTATAGCACATGTTATTTCTGGAGAAGATGATAAAGAAACTGTTATGAAGCTTTGTGAAGATGCGAAGCGAAATCCACAACTGTCAGATCTAATTTCAGATCTATTAAATTCAGAGTGCCAGTCTGGAGATGCTGAAGAAAGCAAAAGGTATGTACGCATTTTTATTGCAACGTTTCTGTAAAACTTTGCAATATTGTGGTGAGCGGAAAAAATTCACACCAGTCAGTCTGTCAGTCAGTCAGTAATATATATTCATATTATTCAACCTTCAACCACCGATGTGTTTGTTTTGTATTGTTTTCAATAGGGAAATTAAAGAGGAAAAAATTGACCGAAGACCTGTCACACTATACGTAAAAAACAAGGAAGATACTTACCTCAGTTTGGAAATTTTAACTGACATTTTAGACGAACTTTCGGAATCAGGTAAGTTATCGAAAGTTGGCCCAATGATTGCTGATGTGGTCTTAAATTATTAGGTGATTTAAAGGTATTTAAGCGTGAAATGTTTTAGGCAGTCAACCATTGTCGGTGTCATTATCACTGCTAATTCGATTCCATAGCCATAGGTGCTGAATCCCAACGTATGCGGAGAAAGATGCCGTCAGGCCTAATGGAGGGTGAACCGAACTTACTACTTGTTCCAAAAGGTATGCGCAGTCTGTACGGTAGCAAAATATATTTTCCAGATACTTTCGTGCAAATAATTTAATGAAAGTTCAACCTTGACGCTGCATAATCTATTAGAAATTATTCATCATCGAGTAAAGTGCCATATTCTAATTGATTTATCCTCTTCAGTATTTCCTATGCGTTCCATAGAAACGCGTCTCGACGTTTCGACCTAGGGGTCTTAAAACGTTACATATATGCAATCTTAGTCTTCCAGAAAACTTTTAAACGCTTTTTTTCCCTGTTCAAAGTGTGCGTTCAACTATTTCAAGAAACTGTTGGAGCCACCTTAAGTCGTGGAATGAATGCCAAAATCTTCTGTTAAGCGCTGTGGGCTGATTTTGTAACCATTCGAATGATTTTGACATTAATTGCAGTCCTATTCGTTCTATTACCATTATTAATATCAATGATCAATACATGGGATTTTTGTAGACGGAAGTTGCTTTTTACAGACTATCATAATGAACTTTGTCTTCCGTAAATTGTTGGTTATTCATCATAGATGACAAATTACTCGGGGGTAGTTTTCAGACCCTAACGTTTGGCAACGGCTTTCTATGATAGATGAATTTGACAATATCCGCCAATAACCTAACGCCTGAGAAAACATTTTCTTATTTCAATAAGTTTCAAGTTTCGCTGTGTTTCTATGAATTTTACAAGTGCGTGAAAATAATAAAAAAATACAACTTAAAATGCATTTGAACGACTTTTTTGTTACACACCCTGCATGATTGGCACAAACGTGTAAATTACGAGATAGACGCCCTAAATCAATTGGGGTCCACTCCTAAATCGAAATTTCTCAAATCACAAAAGTGTAGAATCAGTATTATAAATGGATAGCTACGTTGGTTTACTCAATCCAGTCAAATGAGTCAATGCAAATATTTCATTTTAAGGGGAAGTGTTCGGCTGTCTCCTGTCGCTCTTCATGGGAAGTGAAGCCCGTCAACCCTTACCAACTGATGAAGAAGTGATTGTCTGCGATGAAAATACAACAGCGGAAGAGGTAAGTAACTCAATAGATTCTTGAGGGAAGAGAGAAATTTTTTCTACGTGCAGTTTTCTTCAGTAACACCCGGAGCTCTTGATTATGCAAAGAGCCGCTATACAGTTTTCAGTAATGCACTACATTACCAGTTTGCATATTGTTTGAGGTGCACTGCACTAAGTATAAGGTATGCATGTGAATTATCATATTTGAATGGATTTGGATGCATCACCCAGTTACGCGAAGCAACGATTTTATTGTAAATGATCACTAATTTTAATATGTAGATTGAGTTACTCTGGCGACGTGCAGTCGTTGACGACAAAGGACAGTTGTTTTGTCTTGCTAATGCGGATCTTTTGGATTATGATGTCAGCCAACAGGTTGTTCGTTCTTTGGAATTGTTAACACAAGGACACTCCAGTAAGTATATCACGGTATATATATATATAGGACATAGTTTCCATTCCTGCCAATAGTTGCTGAATTTTTTTCAACTGCTTCCGGTTAGGCCTTGCAAGTATATAATTTAGACTTATTATATAATGATAAATATTGAACAATATTATCCATCAATCATGAACCTCGGATATTCAGAGTGTATAAAAACCCAAACCTTTTCAACTTCAAATTAGCTATAACCTTAACTTTCTTTGAGAATTCGCAGTATTGTAGTGAGTGACAAGCGATACCACCCTTTTTTATATATTTTAAGGTTATACGGTTTTTTTAAACCTTAATGAATACGAAAGCTGCATGAAACTATTTCTATACAATCCCCTAACGTCACATATATATTGCCACAGGTCAGGTACCAGATAAACTTGAAACGTTATTTCTTCCATTTTTCTGCTTTTAGAATACCACTTGGTCGTGATTTGCAGCATTGAGAACGAGGACAGATCGAATATGGTTGCATCCTTGGATCAGAATCGTCGCCATTTTCCCCCAATCCCATCTATGAAAGGTATTCAAAATTATTTGAAAGAGCAGCTTATGGTTTCAGGCACAGAAACAGTCGGCAATGTTCATTTGGCACCAGCAGCCACGGTTGACATGGAAAAGTGAGTATTTTACGCAACACATACAATCGTTGCGGACATTAAGTTAGGACACCCTCGTTCCGGGCTGCTTTCAATGTTGTTACACAATCCACTTATTTCACCGTAGTCCATCACACTTGATTGGGCTTATTTATGATAAAACAGCATTGAAACGAGGGAGGGGCGTGTATTATTACTTTTTAAACAAGGGTCCCAACACTTCTGAAAAGATTGTACTTTAGACTTTGATCGAGGTTTACTGCTTTAAATGACCGCTCATGATTGGGGAGTATAAATATATTGGAAATACCAGAAAATATATATTTGGAAATAAATGAATGCAAAACATATTCATAATACATGAATATGAATCCCCCCGCCAAATTATCTAGCCAGCTACACCACTGTGTATTCCAACTGCTGAGTGGTGCACCTCTTACTTCTTATCAGGTGAGGTCTTAAGAGAAATTTTGGGATAGGAAACTTATAACTCCCATCACCCACCCTCACTAAGAGGCCCAGCATTACATTACATGTTCCCAATCCATTGGCTTGCAGTTTGGGCAAATTAATTATATATCAATTACAGTAATGCATGTTCCCTTTTATATTTTAAAAGGTTATCTGTTCGTGTGATTCAGTCGTCTAGAGCTGGCATGGGAAAGAGCTTGTTTATCGAACATCTAGCAGAACAGTTGGAAAACCTTCTAAATAACAAAAGGCTTCGTGAAGGCCTAGTGCCGTCGCTATGTGCTACAATTCCTGTGCATGGAATCTCTGTGGACAGTGATTGTGTCACCCGCGAACTTCTCTCTCATGCCGTGAAAAGGGATATTCCTGTTTCAAGGATTTTTCATTTGGACGTGTCTCAATCGGTTAGTATATACAGTAGTTCATCGGAAATAGAAATGCTCTTATGCATGAAGTTAAAAAGTTAGTGACCAAAAACTGAACTGTTATGAGTAAACCTAAACATTAAAGTGCCTATATCACTTGTGGGATCCTTACGGATTTGAATAGAGCTTGAAAAATTAGTTTGTAAGTTCTACAACCCTTTTTGATATAGTTAAATAGTTTCGGAAATATTTACATTTAAACATGACGATTTGCCTAAATTTCCGTCGTGCTCGGGGGCCTGGGACTCAGGAACCGAGTTCTTGTGAAACATAATAATTATAATCAATTGTAATTTTACTTCGATCTTCCAATAACGTAAAATATTTTGAGAAAAACTCGCCCAGTTGCTACAGCCATACACAACGCACCGTTCCCGCATTTTTTTCTTGAAAAGCGCAAAATATATCGCCAGTGAAAGACTGAAACTCTTCATGTTTACATTATAAAAGACGGCGTGTTTGCAAATCACTCCTGAGTCCCAGTCCCCCCAAACGATGTATTTTCGAAACTATTTATTTTATAACAAAAAGGGTTGTAGAACTTATAAACAAATTTTGCAAGCCCTATTCAAATCCGTAAAGATCCCACAAGTGATTTAGGCACTTTAAGCAAATAATGTTGTTTAAAAAAATTCCTCGTCAAATACGGCCTTGAATTTGGTATGTAGGAATTTAGTTTTGGCTCTTTCGCTTTCCAAAAAGATTCTTCGAATCACAAATGCTTTTTGAAAACTTGCTCCAGGTTGTGAAAGGAATTGACAATATCCTGTTTCAACTTCTCATCTTGAGAGTTGTAAAAGATAAGAGTGGGAATGTTTGGAGAAGAAAGTCGACTGATATGTATGTAGTTGAACTTACAACTGACAAATCATTTGAAGCTTTAACAGCTGACGCGTCCTTATCAAATTCAAACTACAGCCAGGTACAGTGTAAACGTGCAAACGATACCTGTTTCTTAATTCCTCTCTTGTACACTTCTGTACTGTAAACTTGCGTTTCTGTTTGTTTGGTTGTACGTTGTATGAATTTTAGAAAGCATCCAACTACAAGAACGCGAATGATACGAAATATATTGCGTATAATATAACAAATTTATTTAGTATTAAAATGTTTAAAGTACTCTTGTTGATGGAGCAGCAAATTGCTCCGATTTTTTTCCTTCAAGGTAACCCAGATTTTTTGGTAGTTTTGTTTTTTACCAACAATATCAAGAACTTTTAAAAAATATCAAAGCAAAATTTATTGGGAGAAGTTAAAAAAAAGAATATGATTAGAAAAATTATTTTAAAAAGCCTTGCATTTGCATATGTAGTTTCATTGCCTTTAATCTAACCCAGACTATGAGAAAACGATTGGCAACAGAGAAGTACTCATTTGTGAAATACCTGCCTCGAACACATTGCTCGACACCCAGGGAAACGTTGGACAACATAAGACTCAACAAAGGGGGTAAGTCTCAATTCTCAATATACATTTTATGAAATTAAAAAATTAAAAGACACCATATAATTGTTTTAATTCGACGCATGATTTTGTTTGACAATATATATTTAATGTTTTTGAAATAAACGACAAAATTTTTATGTTTCGAAACATGTTTGCAATTATAAATTTTGTCGTATATTTCAAATGCTTAATTACTTTTGTGCTATTCAGATCATATGGTAATATATTTAATGCATGTGCATGTATGTTATAGTAAATGCTAACATTAATTTTCTGGCAATACTAATCTATGCCTTTAAACCAGATCTGTAAAGAGAAATCCAAAATTATTAACGTTTTGGCACTAGCAATATGGTGCAGTATTTTGTTGATGCAGTACGTCAAAAACACATTAGGCTCAGACTCTGGTATGGACATACCAGTCTTAAAATAGGATTTAAATTCTACAATAATATACTTTTTTGCAATTGTGTTTAAATTCCCATCTCCCGGTCATGCATGTCCATCTTTAACAGAGCCTCTGTGCTTCGATATGCGCCTATTTGTTTTGATGCATATCGGAACTTGAATTTTTTTGCAAAATATTAAGATATCCTCCTGGGGATTGTCTAAACTACAGTGAATCACTGCTGGAATTAAACGATTCATGTTATTGTTTGCAGGTAATACTGGATTTGACATGGAAAAATTCCGTAGTGAAGAATATCAACGCACATTTCAGTACCTTACACAGTTCGCAGCGGGGCAAAATTTAGACAAATTCTTGTTCATATATGATCCTCGTGTTACCATTGGCGATCCCGTTGATGCCTTAACGATCATGATTAAGTAAGTATATCTGGCGTTTGAGAAATTTTATGAAATTTAGTACTATTATAGTGTCAGTTCTCTCAAACGAGGAAATTCTTTTCTATTCTCTCGACCGGATTTAAAAAGATCGCTATATTATCAAACTGATAGCAATAGTTGTCGGGCAGGTAGATATTAAATATGACGAATTGGTTGCAATACTATCATTCAAGCTGGTAACATTTTTGTAGATATTGTGGCATTCGTGATCCATCTTGGGCAGAACTATATCATTTTGTAAACTTCTTGAACGTCCAGCTTCGCGACTGTGAGGAAAGCGTTTTCTGTAACGCTCAGTTAGTGGGTGATCTCTTACAAGGTTTTAAGACTTTTGTGGTTCGTTTCATGATTGAAATGTCTCGAGTAAGTATTTTAATAATGTTCGTTCTCTGCGATTGGTTATCCAATAATTAGTGCTGTATTAAGAAGTACCAAGTAAAATAGCTAATATCTTATGATTATAGTAGGCAACAATGAAAAAAATACATTGATTTACTTATCCCAGTTGGACCAAATATTAGATAATAATTCGTCGAAGGCGAGGTGAATAACGCTGAATAAAAGACGACGAAGTCGAGGTATTCAGTGATGTTCACCGAGCCTGAGGTGGATAGTTGTCTTAGTGTAAGTATTTTCGTTGAAATAACGTACTTCTTCACCTGTCACTTTGGCAAAAACAACTCGCCACCATTTTAAAAAATCCGCTTAGGTGATTATGGCGTAATAATCCAAATCACTCGACCAACCAAAGAATTTTCAATAATCACCCTTGTAATTATACCGGGTGGCGCAAAAAAAGGTTAACCTGTTTAATTGAGTATAACTTTAAAACTAAAACGTCTGTTACACTGAAATAACTTTCTTTAGATTCGTGAATGTGTAACTTAAAATTTGGTATTTACCAATTTTGATACAATATTCCCCGAGATATCAGCGTTTTACTTTTAATACGAATTTTTGAAAAGTACAAAAATTAGTCAAAAATGGCATATTAAATAAAAAAAGGTAACGTTCGTTTTTCATGGCATGACTTCTTGAGCATTGTTTTAACCCTGGCATATTCTGTGAAAATTCAAACTCGCTGTTGTAGCTATCCTTAAACGAGGCGTATTAAGAAAAGAACAAGCACAATTCATGCGAAATTGTTTGTTAAATTTGTGGGCTACCGAACGAATTTTATCCCCCATGGGACATGAAATATTTCGAACAAAGTCTAAACCAAAATAGCTAATTTTTGTTTGTAACGCTTTGCAACATAAAATACACAGAAAATAAAAAACCTAATCCACCTGTCAAATGTTTCTAGTTAAACGTCATTGAAACAAACAGAATATGTGCCATAAAATACTAGGATTTGTCAACTTTTTTTAACATGCCATTTTTAGCTAATTTTTACACTTTTCGAAAATGCATACTTAAATTGAAACCGCGATATCTCAAAATTGCATGAAAAACCTCATGTATGTTATATATCAAATTATGAAAAAAACAATTTTTGTGTAATAGCTCTAGCTCTTTGAAGTTATAATCAAACATGGTTAACTTTTTTTTGCGCCACCCGGTACTAAAACGTCTTATTGCATGTGCGTGTAACATCCAAATAATCTGCGTACAATAATCAACCAATTAGAAGCCAGATTTTAATTAATTAATTGCGTCTTTTTCAAACTGTTCATACCACTTCAAATATTTTTTAAAAATTTCCTTTGAAAGTACCGACTAGGCATTTCAGTCACACTAAATTTCGCTAATTTATTTAAAACAATGATTAATCATTATTCTCGTTCTGCGTTCACATTGTATATTTGGCATTCTGCCACTGTAGGACTTTGCCACACGATCACTAAGTGACAGTAACTTGGGCGTTGATGATGCACAAACAGCAGATGAAGATGATGATTTAGCTCCATTTGAAATACGGAAGCGTTGGGAATCGAGGTTCGAAACTTTAGCATAAAGTCATCTTTCACTAAAGGCGGATTTCCACTGACAGCGAAATCGTTCGCTAGCGAAATATTTGCATATTTTCTTTTGAATTGAGAACCGTCAAGTCGAACTAATTTATTTATGCTGTTAAAACTCAAAAGAAAATATGCAAATATTTCGCTAGCGAACGATTTCGCTGTAAGTGGAAATCCGCCTTAATACTATTGACGGTCATATTCCACAGTTCATTATTGTATATGTAAATGAAAGCTGAAACCTAATAACTGTTTTGAACGGCATTTACTAACTTGCAAAATCTTATACCAAAAATTATAGGGTCCTGACACAATTTACTATTTCGTCTTCAACGAACATATTTATATGTTGTTATCTTCAATTTTTCAACTATTATGAAGAGGCTAGGTCTTTATATATCCATGACTACCCACAACAACCAAATTTGAATACATTGAATAAAATCTCCAACAATAATACACATGCGTGGGCTCTAGGATATCTGCAAGTATTCATAAAATCTATCTCTTTCTTTTTTTGTTACAGTCCTCATCCTTATATATTTTTCAACCATGACCGCGTCAGCATGACCTTCCTTGGATTTCGTCTGAGCGATAATGGTGATTTGCTTGATCCCGCTACCAATAAAGTTTTAGAGCAAAAGATGATGGAGCCAACTTTAAGAGGACAACTTAAGCATCAAGGAGTTAATTTTGACACCAACTACGAGAAACGTGACAAGTTAGTTGTAATAATGGCATGCATTATTAATTTACTACTGCTGAAGCAGCAGGCAGGCTAACCGTTTTCTATACACGTTTCTAAATGTTTTTGTGTATGAAAAGGGTAAAAAAGGGCTATGATCAAAAGCCGTTTCCAAAAATTGGTAATTCTTTGCGCCGAAAAGACGGTAATGGTGTTTAGTTGGTTTCTGTGAGATATTTGACTATTAATCAATATTACTCCTGCATGGGCTCAAAGAATTTCAAATAAAAGCAATTAACCAATTAAAGTTATATTGCTGTAGCCTGGCATGTATCTGAATTATTCATTACCACATTTTGTTTCTGTTAGTCACGCCACTGCAGGACAAATAACTTTTTCTTAACAGGAAAATTTAACGTGTTTTAATTTATTTTTATAAAAGAATGGCGCGTATCGAGAAATTGTGCAGCGTCATGGGAATCGAATTTTTATATGACCCTGATCCTACATACGAATTGACAACCGACAATGTCAAAAAAATCCTGGCAATTCATATGCGATTCAGGTCAGTAACCATCAAGTTTACATCCGATTGCCGACGGATGGCTGTCAACATAACCTTAAAAGTTTCTCGTGTAAAGCATTGAAGGGTTTAATTAAAACACTTTCTAGTCACATGCAATAACGTTTACCAGCTACTATATATGCAATAACTCTCAGCAATTAGCGATATTTGTTGCACGAGTTTATATTATGCTTCTTCGGGATTGAACAAATACACGTGTCAATGACCAGTCCTTTTTGTTTATTGTGAAGGTGTGGCATACCAGTAATTATCATGGGAGAGACTGGATGTGGCAAAACTCGGCTTATTAGATTTATGTGTGAACTTCAAGCTGGGCCCGAAGGACCGAAAAATTTGTTACTCATGAAGGTTTCTATACTTCTTGTATTTATCAATTAATCCAGTAGACCCAAGGCAAAGTATAGTAGACATTGTTGCGAGAAGATCGTGGCGGGAACAAACATGGAAAATTCTTCTGAAATGCAACTTCTGTTTTGGAGAAAATATCGCGAAACACATATCTTTCCTGATTTGCTCAAAGCTTTTCAATTAATAGAGATCTGAATATATTTAACTGGATTTTTTAATGACTTGTTCTAAGAAGACATACTGCATGCATTCATGTTATCCAGGGGTCAAAGCTCAATGTGGTCATGCAAAAGCAATTTGAGTAAAACAATGAATGTCAAAACCGTGTTTTAAGTAAGTTAAGGGAAATACTTTTCATAATTTATAATTTTTCGATGTTAAATTTTGAAGCTACAGTTCTTCATTGACAATTATATTTGAACATATAACAAGCTCATATACGAAAAAACTGCATCCTTCAGCAAAATAATACGGAATAACAAAAGACACCAAAGCGTTTAAAACAGCTTATAGATTGTATAGATATTCCTAATTATTTTTATTCGATCTCTTTTCAAATTTCATTTTGTATAAAGTTTATAAAACATTTTTATGAAAAGTTTGAGAATTGACCGTTAAATTGGAGACGTTATTACTGAAATCTAATTTTTGTCATAGCCGTGCACAATCAGGAGGTTATTGACCACCAGTCTTCACGCGAACGAATTTGACGCGGGTGCATAGCTAACATAACCATCCAACGTCCACAACGTAGAATTTGGACGACTTTGTATTCTGCTATGTTCTGACACAATACCCGGGTGTAATTCCTAATTTCCGAGCGGAATTAGTACCCTGGAACAACGCTCCGCGCTGGCTATAAGTTTGAAGTTTAAGTGAATATGCCGTAAGTTAAAAACTTTTTGATTGATTGATTATTTTAATGAATATCTTTGCCTGTATTAAGGTACATGGTGGAACTAGTTACTCAGAAATTGAAATGAAAGTGGTAGAAGCAGAGAAAAGAGCTTTCTTCAATCAGAAGATCAATGTTGATACTGTCCTGTTCTTTGATGAAGCCAATACAACAGATGCAATTGACCTCATCAAAGAAATAATGGTCGATCGAAGGGTGAATGGACGTGCTATAAATCCTGAACTGACGAAACTGCATTTCATCGCTGCTTGTAACCCATATCGAAAGTAAGTCGAAACAGTGTGGAGTACGTTTCTTCCCTTCTCTAAAAGTCGTTCTGATTCCTCTTATACGAACTATATTTCCTACTTCACAAGGGTGTCATAAATGGAAATTATTTTATATTGCCGTACCTTTTTGCGCAGTGATAGAAATTTCCAGAAATACAATTCAACCCAGGCAAAATAACTTCCTAAGCTAGCCTTAGACCTAAGGCTAAGCATTGTGAAATTACTGAAACACAAGCCAAGCATGTGTAATTTAGCAATAAATTAAAAATCCAATATGGTGTCCCGTATAAGAAATGAGTGGGCAATTATTAAAATTTGTTTTCTATGTAACCCATAATTAAGTCATGTTTGTCCACGTCCAAAACATCATCAATTTTATCGATCTTTAACAACTGAAAATTTGAGGACAAGTCAAGATGCCCAAGTATGTTCCCGAGAAAGAATATTTTTACGATTGAGATTGTATAAGAAGGTGTACTCCGAGCATATTAGGTACCCTACAGCTCCAATTTCTGCTCGTTTTTGCAGGCATCGGCAAATGTCCACGTCAGAGTTGGTTCATAAAGACTTTAGCTTTATTCACATCGCATTTTGGAAGCTTAAATGACGCTTAAATGTGTTTCACAACGCGATGAAATAAATCAATTTCGTAGAGTGATTTTCGATAGCCATTATGTTATTTTAGCTGTTGCTATGATACAAGCCACACTGATCTAAATAATTAACTTAAAACTGAACCGCATGAGCCCACACACCTCACCGCTTACCGGCCTGTATTTCTGGCCACTTCTTGTATTACTATATAGCATTGATAAGAATACTGATAATGAACGTGTTTTAGGCACACGAAGGAAATGATCCAGAAACTAGAATCTGCAGGGTTGGGGTATCATGTATCAGCTGATGAAACTGATGATAAATTAGGTATCACCACAAGAAAGCAATTAGTAGAAAATACAATTAAAATGGAGTTTGATTCATTTTAGCATACACGTTTCATTCATTTTAGCATACAATTTTCCTAAAAAATAAACACGTGCGCAACGCTCTTCCACAGGTTCAATTCCACTCCGTCAACTTGTGTATCGAGTCCACCCCTTGCCAGAGAGCATGAGACCGCTAGTTTGGGACTTTGGCCGACTTACAGATCACACAGAAGAACTTTATGCTGCGCAGATCGTGCGGAGGTCTATGGTTGCGACAACGCAGGATGTAAGTAGGACGGTCAGTATTATATTACGAGCGCAACAGAACTGGAAAAAAATTCAAATATTCATTGTAAGCACGTCATATTGAAATTGAACACGACAAAAATATGTGATGTTTCAAATTAAAATGAAAGATACAAAAAGTTCATATGACAAACCATATATATTAAAGCATACTTATCTTGTATTATTGTTCACCTTTTCCTTCCTATTGTATATATTACGTAGGTTAAATTTGATGGAACCGAAGCCCAAGCATCTTGTATTGCTAAAGTGCTGTCAGCTTCACAGAAATATATGCGTGAACAAAAGGTGCATATTCCGTGTATTGCCACTTATTCCTTAGTTGAACAATATTTTGTAGACAATTACAATGGATAACAGTTTATTTTTCCCCCGTGCATGCAAGAAAAGGGAGATTGAAATATGGAGCATGAGAAAAGAACACCAAAGAAACGAAATGATTTCCAACTGATTATGACTAGAAGTAAATTCTGGTACGTTGTTAAACAGGCCTTTTTTTTCTTCAGAACGAGTGCAGCTTTGTCAGTTTGCGTGATGTTGAAAGAGCGATGAAGGTTATCACCTGGTTTTATTCTAACTCTGAATTGATCATCAAAATTATTGGCGATGTAGATGAAAATGGTGATAAAGATAGTAGTTCTGAAGAGTCTAGTGAAGAAGAAGATTTTGAGTCTGATGAAGAATTTGAGACAGGCGAACAAGTACGTATATATTACATATGCCGGAGTTTAGTGTAAAACAAGACGCCAGGTAGGTGTTAACTCGGGCTATGTAGCCGGTAAATACACTGCACTGAAACTGAGCTCTATTGATACACTGTAAATACGCGACTGTCCGCGCGGAAGACTAAGCCTGCGACACGAAAAAAAAATAATAATAATCGTGAAACCTATAGACTCGACTACCCGAGTAAAAAAGGAATAAATCAGGACCAAGAGGAGATTAGGATCCAATAATTAACGACACAAGGGTCGAAGAACTGATAGGTGTAATTTTAAAATACAAATGTAATTACATAAATATCATGATATTCTCATGTTTTCGTCACGAATATCGTCAAAATTGTAATGTATTTCGATGTTTTTGCTTTTCAGCCCTTAAGTCAAATTGTCCGTGCACTAATCCTGGGGATTGGTGTTTGTTACTATGCCCGATTAAATACAAGAGAAGCGTATTGTCAAGAAATCTCGAGACATTTTGACAATTCCTGTCCTCTTCCGGGAGGTGGACGTAGGATGCAAAGGGAAATCGAGAGGTAAGTGTCATCTTATTTTAGAGGTATAGTCACAGGCATTTCTAACTCGCTAAATGCCGATTTGCTACACAGATACTGGAGGAAAATACTAGTGTACTAAAAACAATTTAACATTTGTTAACGGGCAAATAATCATTGATATTTCTACCCTAGGTCCTGGTATCCTAGGATATTTCTGCCGTACGTTGTATGTTGCATTCCCTAACAAGAAATGATTAAAATACCCCGCACAACTTACATGCATGCATGAATCTGGTTTTAGGTGTCAACGTGGATTTTTGAATGACATACAACTGGGTCAGAATATCGCCAAAAACATCGCTCTAAGTGAGAACGTCTTTATGATGGCAATTTGTACCGAGTTACGCATCCCGTTGTTTGTTGTCGGCAAACCTGGCAGTTCAAAATCTTTAGCGAAAGACGTTATATCCACCAACATGAAAGCTGGAAACTCGCAAAGCGAATTGTTCAAAAACTTAAAACAGGTTGGTGCATGAATTATACGTGAAGAGGTTAATTTCTGCATAGATAATTATTTATCAGCATGATAATTGGTCTTAATCTTTAATTTTACGTGCCAGTTGGGCCGACCAGAGATATACACATATTTTTTTGCATTGTTTTAATATCCGTGAAATTGCTTTATTACCCATATTTACTGAAGATTGTCAATTAATGTCATTGTTGTAAACGTTAGTCGTTTCTCTTTACTACCAACACCCTCTAACTAATTTGAATATAGATAACGTCCAATATTTAAATCGATGCCTGTTGAATCTAAGGTCTCTCCAAAGGGGAGTGTATTTTCCCTGTTATAATGGTAGCTATAATGAAAGGTTGAAATGTCTTGTATTAGTATTTTAATCGTTTGCAAACTTGACGTTGACTGCTGTACTTTTCATAGATCCACATTCAATCGTACCAATGCAGTCCATTATCCACGCCCGAAGGCATCGTCTCTACCTTCAAACAATGTGCTAAACTACAAAAAGACAAAGACTTAAAAAAATTCGTGTCTGTGGTAGTATTAGACGAAATTGGATTGGCCGAGGACTCTCCTCTGATGCCTTTGAAAACGCTCCACCCTTTATTAGAAGATGGCACAGCAACAACTGAAGAATCAGGGACAACATCTGATTATCACCGCGTTGGTTTTATCGGTTTATCCAATTGGGCATTGGACCCCGCCAAAATGAACCGTGGAATTATGTTGAGTAGGGGAGTACCAAATGAAAAGGAGCTGCAAGACAGCGCCAGGTTTGTGAGGGCCTTCTTGTCAATCAGATAAACTTTGAAATAGTATTTGTTTTATCAAAATTCAAAACCCTTACATGTGCGAGCTCATATATATACATCTTCTTTACATATGTATAAAAAGACTTAACATGCAACCTGCAGGGTCATCCCTGCTTGTTCTTTTTTAGACTGTATGATAATTATAGTACATGCAAATAGTTAAAGAAGCTACCTCAAAAGTTAAAAAACTATATAGTGTGAAAATAAGTAGCAAAATTAACATATATAAACATTTCTCTTAGCTAATCAGGTTACGTTTTCACATTTGTATGCTATTATCGTAAAGTGAAATGTTATCGGTTATCAAATATTTTTATTCTTAGTGGAATTTGTTCATCTGACCAAGAAATAAAACTACGTCTTGAGACAACTATCTCAAGGTTATGCAGAGGGTATTTTGAACTTTACGAGAAACAAAGCAAGTCAAAAACACTAAAAGAAGCTCAAAAAGATGAATTCTTTGGACTTCGGGACTTTTACAGGTTGAAGTATCAATGATTTATTAGAATTTCAATATGAAAGCAGTTCACTCAATAAACATTTTTGTTTGCATAAATGTTCAACTATATATACGCTAGAATTATATCAAGCAGCGAAACCTTTTCCCCTGTTATGAGCTCAAATCATATATCAGAGTTTTATGTATGCATTTTACTGACAAAAGTAATTCGGGAACTTATGAAGGTATGGAAAACCGGTTTTTGTTATATATATGCATGATTTTTACTCTGTTTTGCAGTTTAGTAAAGATGGTGTTTGGTTTTGCTGTACAAAAAGAAGAGCAGGGTGATCAAATCAGCGTTATAGAACTGGAAAAATCCATACGGAGGAATTTCAGTGGCTTAGATGACATTGATCCAGTAAAAACATTTTGTAAACATTTTCCAAGACTTAAAGAGAGTGTTAAGGTAAAAATGTAAAATGCTTGATAATACATTGCGCGAAAAATATGGAATTTATGTCGAGTGTTCAGAATAAATTCCATATTTTCCAAGCATCCATGTATTTTTGTTTTTATTATATAATAAAAAGTTTTTTATCCTCCAGTGCACGTATACTTTATTCCTCATCCGTGGATCAAATCACGATAATAACACAATCATGTGTTATTATTATAAATAATCGCACATGGGTTGTTATCGCTTTTCACAATGGCGGATTCGCTAATAAAACACTGCGTATTATATTATGAAATATGATAATATTTTATACAATTTTATTTAACGTAAATATTTTATATTTCTTTTGAAAGTATCCTTCTCCTGAATGCTTCCCGGTGAATCTCATCCAAGAAAGCCTTGTGAGAACCGAAAAGGAAGGGTGCGTTGAATTGCTAATATTTTTTTTCTAAGTATAATTGGGGTTTTACATTTTTAGCGAAAACAATTTTTTGCAATCAATTTTCTAAACGATGTTTTAAACCATGAGGAGATGTTAGTATAGTTGAGAAAAACCTTTAGTTTACATTTACAAACAATATATTTTGCACTTTTATTTTTTAGGGAAAGTCGCTATTTACTTGTTCTAACTGAGAACTACGCAGCGCTAAGATTATTACAGGGGCAATTTTACCAGCACGATCCAGTTATTATTTTTGGAAGCAGTTTCCCAAAAGATCAACAATACACACAGGTACAGTATTTTGACAGTTTATTTTATAAATATATCTTCTATAAATATATTAATGATTATTGCTAAAGAGAAGTGAAACGTGTATATCTTTTTAATTATGATAATTGCCATGATTATATATACACAAGCGCTGGATATGAGCTAATATATGCAATCTGATTGGCTCTCGATCTATTACACAGATATTGGCTTATAACTTTCTAGACAGTAGAGAAACGTAAAAAAAATGGCTGAAAGATTTGGGCCAATAAATTCAAGTTTTACTTCATAAAATATACCAAAATGCACTGAATTAAAGAGTGACAAACTTTGGATTGAAAGTATTCAACTGTATAGGTTTACGAAATGTACGGTTTTGTTTCCGTTATTCTGTTTTAAAATGTTTAAAAAAACGAGATACAGCATTTAATTATCCAATTTTTAAAAACCTGTATTTAGTAACTAATTAAATTACGAATAAATTTGCTTGTGTATATACGACTTCAGTTCTGTTTAAAATCATTGACAAGATCACTGTCGCATGTATACTAATTTGCCTTGCAGTCATACATATTTGCATTATTGCTATACATAATTCCCTGGGATTTTTACCCCAAAATACGTTGAGAAAAGGCCTTGGGTACAGTTTTCTGACCACTTGATTAGTATACTGAGAGTTTGGTAATCGATTCATTTGCCTTTTTGAGGAATACCATGCAATGTAAATAAATCGATTTATAGCGGAGGACATGCATATACCACGCAGGATATATAACTTTTGAAAATCTTACTTACATGGTTTTGAACGTGCAAACTGTCGCTTTTCTTCCTTTTTATAGATTTGTCGAAACATCAATCGAATTAAAGTATGCATGGAAACTGGAAGAATGGTGATTTTACTCAACTTAGAAAGCCTTTATGAAAGTTTATATGATGCATTAAATCAGGTATAGCTACAGATATAGCTACAGTGGTTTTTCATAATTATAATAATAAAAAATTTCTGGATCCTGATTAACTGAAAACTGTGCAATTTCATCATTGATTAATAAGATTACTCGCACTTTCGCCCAGGCGATAATTCCTGGAGTAAAAAAATAATTTTATACGAAAATAAGATGTTTTTACTTTTATACACTTAATTTCTCTCAAAATATTAATTGACTAATGGAAAATGTCACCTATACAGGTGTCAAAATATTTTTTTATTTTTAATTTTATTATTTCTAAATTATTATTACTTCTCGAAATGTTCAAAATCCTATTCGAATTAAGTAATCTAATTTTTCCAATGAAAAAACTCCTGCTCACCGGATTTTCTTTGCTCAGACGAAAATGAACATCTTTTCTTTCAATTCATTTATGATTGTCTTTAATGTAGTATTACGTGTATCTTGCCAATCAAAAGTATGTTGACCTTGGCCTGGGAAACCACAGAGTGAAGTGTAGAGTGGCGAATGAATTTAAGTAAGTATTTCAAATTATACATTCATTATAGGTATTTACACTGTGATTCTTATGACAGTAGATAGGTGCAGTAAATTTGATGGGAGTAATATGCCAAAAAATTATGCTGTACCAAATTTCATAGATCGTACCATTTTTTTTCGTAATGAAAAGAATCATAGGAAGAAATTTTAAGCGCTATTTTTGACAGCCCTATATATAGGGAAGTGGAATTAAATGTTTTTTCTTCATGATATTTTCCCCTTTTATTTGAGGCATGTTGAATTTCAAACGTAGCTAATTTCAAACTACGCCTCTAAATTGTTCAAATTGTTCAATTAATTGTATTGGATAGGTTGATAGTGGTTGCTGAAAAGGATGTTGTTTATCGTCGATTTCCAATTCCTCTTATCAATCGACTGGAAAAGCATTTACTTGTAATGTCAACTGGCCTAACAAAACACCAAGCTGTTTTGGTCGAAAAACTGCAAAAGTGGGTCAAAATTTTCTCAGAAGCATCTCCCGAATTTTCATGTAATAAAAGGTGATTTAATTGTTTTGTTCGATATGAAGTGTTTCACATTCATTATGCATGGTTTTAAACGCACTTTACCCAGGTGTATGTTAAGTTTAGATTTTTTTAGATATAATATTTGATGGGGAGTTGTTATTTGAGGCAACCCCGTCCAGCTTCATTCTGTGGAAATTGTAAAACTGTATCGTTGTCCGAAAAATCGTTTAGCCTAAGACATTAGGTGATTCCCTGAGGGCCCTGTACTGTACAGACTTTTTCTTACCATTCCATTGCATCCGTGCACTCTTTTTGAGCTCTATTTGGAGTGTATTTGCAGTCGAATGCTGAAAAATGCAATACATATTCTTAAACAATAATGTATGTACATCCATATAGCCTATTCACGCCTGGTGATTGCTTTGTTGGTTACCATAGCGACACTGCCGCTGCAGTGATCATCAAAATTTCGAACATTAAAAAGGATTGGCCTGATGATCAGGTAAGAGTTTTTGAACACACCGAGTTTCGACGGTCAATATTTTTTTAATATTCGCACTTTGCGTCGATCTACTTTTCGCTGATTTTTGTATTTCAGGGCTGTTTGTGCCATTTCACATCACTGGTAAACGAGTGACTTGACACACGACAGGTTATACTATATTATCTCATCTGATTATTTCGTAGATTCTTCTGCATTCAAAACTCGCGCTGTTGCAGTGTGCATCGCCTGATGCTATCGCTAGACTACCAGCGACAAAAATGAAACGTGATGCGGAGGAGCTTTGGAATGTATATTTCAAAACTCAAAGACATGGAAGTTTGAAAGACTATTTGGTTGATTGCCTAGATAAAGTTACTCCTGAAAAACATGGATCTCTTATACAAGTTAGTTGTCTAAGTTGTCTTTTTGCACTTTTCTGTGGCGGATCTAGGGATAATCAGAATAAATTACTACAGCAATTAAAATCGCAATCTCATTGGTGAATTTTTATTTAAAAATATCCTTTTGAAATCCATAACCAATAGCGTTCTTATTAAGGTGTGTTGAATTTAAAATTTAGTTGTGTAATTTATTCTGACTACCCCTAGATCCGCCACTGTAATAAATTCTGTCATTGTAAAACGTTCGAGTCTGATGCATTTATGCTTCAATAATAAATTACCTTTATACGATATTTACTGCGGTGTTCATGCAACATACATGATGAGAAATTTTAACCAATCAAATCGAGCCCATGCCAAATAGAAATCCGTACGGAAGAGCTTCGCGCGCTTAGAAACAGAGATCAAAGGTAAAAGTTATTGCCGACGTTTCTTGTTTTCTGAGAAAGTTCAAGCACTGAAGTGCATTGTACTCTACTTGCCAGTTACTTTGTAATATTTCGACCATGTCTTTCTGAACCGTTTCAAAAGAACTTGGATTTTCTCAGGCACTCTCAAGCGGTAAATTGGGTCCTTTCATTGCACCGCATTTACGTTCGTATAGATAACCACACACTCAAGATTGTTATCGCCAGGAAATTCACGTTCCATAGCATCAGATGCTGGATTCAAAGGTCCAAATGCTCGTTGTATTAGCCTTCAAGAATTTAACACAGAACAACAATTCACCAAAACAATAGAGTAAGTATTGATTTTGTTAATAGCAACGCCAGTATAATTTCATGCATGTATATATTATGTGTAAAATTTACAATTATAGTCGCAGCGATAGAAGCGTTCCGAAAACGTTAAGCAATTTTTTTCATCATACAAACTTATAATATGGCTGTCGTTTAAAAAGAGCCAATCAGCTTTAGTAAGTAAGTGAGTAAGTAAGCGACTTTATTAGGGTAAACACTTGACAGTAACATTAAAGTTTCTGATAAACTATAGTGGCCCTCAAATAGCTTTCTATTTTCAATTTAAAAATATGACGAAGGTATAGGCAAGGTGTCCCCAGCATAGGTTTTGAAATATATTTGCCACAAACCTAAAAAACATTCACGTTTTATACATGCATAGGAATACATTTGAATGCTAAAAATATAGTATAAATGTAGTAAAATTATTCAAGTTTAATGTGTTTTACTTTTTTTTTCTTATTCGCCATATTTTTATGAAATATTTGCGGTTTTGTGAAGGTGTTCGAGTTAACCGTCGTGCGTTTTTAGCTTATTTGGCGTGAGAGTTGCCAACCTTGTCATAAGATAAGACTGTTCAGTCAACATGAGCGTCGCGCGAGGTCAGCGAGATCAGTTCTGGGCTGCCTATGATCCAACGAACTCTTTTCCAACCATTCTATGTTATATGCTAATGCATGATTTGTTTAAGGATGTGCCTTGCATAGACTGTTGTAAACCTGTTTGCACTTTCCTTTTGGGTTGTTATTGTGTTTTACATTCCCAATAATTTATTATTCCCATAATAAATTATTAGGATAATATATTTATTATTACATTCCCAATAGTTTATTATTTATTTATTAACAATTTATTATAATATATTAATATATTAACTGGTTTGAAACTCGTGTAACTTCTCGCTAATACCTGTATCCCAAAAGCTCATTTTACACTCATTGTGTGTGACTTGAAAATTCTGTTATTGCATGCCAATTCATGCGTGTACGTTCTTAATCGTCAGAAATACAGTATATAAGTGATTTATTCGAGTGGAAATGCTGTCATGAAATTATTTTATCACATTTTAAGCACTTATTTTCATAATTTTTTTAGAGAATTTTTTGTTTCACTTGGTGGTGCTGAAGGTCTCCTTCTTGTCCAATGTGATAATGGCGAAGCGAATTTCAACTTAATCGCCTGCTGTCGACATCTTGTTGATGATACCCGACGTCGTAAAATTGAAAGTTTTGATGGGCCTGTTAAGCCTGTCCACGTCGTATTTATTATTCAGTTACCAAAGATTGCTGGTGGTTGTCAACACTTTGTAGGGTTTCAAGGTGGAAAGTGGCTGTCGATCCATATTGACGAACTTCTTGAATCGAGCGAACAGCTTCCACAAATTGAACAGCTTATGAACCGCTCTGTGAGTGATTTATTCAAGCCAGTAAACCTTGTAAGCAGTGACGACATTGAGAGCATGGATGTTGATGAACATTATGATGCGGACGTGCGTATGGAGGACATTGAATTAGAGGTATGTAGTATTACAATTGCTTGGTCATCATATTTCGTTTTTGTCAGGTAAGTATACTATAAATAACCAGGGAAGACCAGCCATAAATAACATCCATAAATAACCACGGAAATAAACAACCATAAATAACCACGGAAGACTATCAGTAGCGTAGCCAGCCTGACGATTTGTCTGGCTATATAAATTTCGAGTTATTATAATTGGTCACGTCTTTAGAAATTTACTGTTTTCACAGTCAATGGACCAATGTTAGCAAGTGGCACAAAATCGTCAGGCTACAATAGCTACGCCAAAGAAGACAATTTTCATCATTTTATCATTCTCCCAATGCAAGCATTTTTTTTTATCATATAGGAATCAAATGAAAAACAAACTGCTCTGAGCGAAATAAAGGCAGCATTGCTACTGAAAAATTGTCTGCAGGCTGCCGCAGCAAGAATCTACGATGAGTCAGCGGAGATTGACAGAGCCACGAAACGCATAGAAATATTGCTTGAGTTTTTACCAGAGGATGATACACAAGAAACAGGTTTTTTGATGATTATTGTTTTTACTCCATCATTTAAATGTTAAATAAAAGGGAGGATTCTTCATCATTTAGTAAGATCCATGAGCATATAAATGCAATGGACAAGTTGGTAGGCCAGTGTTTGCACTGTCCTAATTTGGTTTTAAAAAGACTTAGGCAGCTCAACAGCTTACTGTGCAATTATCTAAAGATTTATCAATGTTCTGAACAATAATACTACATATATGTGGACTATATATAGCCTATATAGCCTTGTTTTGTTTGTGAAAATTCCTAAAATTTCATCCAGAAATGTCACGATGTCGTGGCTATAGAATAGTATTACCACGATACCATATAATTAAGCCAATCGCGTGAGTAGATTTAGGCCAATGCACGAAGATTGTATATTAATCATGCATAAAGAATGTTTCAAAATAAATCAAAATCATTCTTAAGGTGGCTCCCTACAGTTTCTCGAAATTTTAAGCAGGGATATTAAGCATCTAAATGTTTGAGTAGAAGACTAAAATTTTATGTACGTTTCTGGCAACATATCTAGAGCCGAATTCTCTTGGCAGCCGTTGCTATATGGCAACAGAGATGTTTCAAAATGACCGCCAAATAGAGTTAAATTGAGTTTATATTGTAAACGAGTTTGATGACGTCCAAATTTTTTTCATTAAAATTTTAGACTGTAGATGATTTATTCTATTCCAAAAAACGTTATTTTAGCCGCTTGAGAGAATTCTTTTAAAACTTTACTTTCGATTAATCAGCTATAGTGTAAAATTTTGAGGAAAAAAAATTTGGGGGTCACCGAATTCGTTAGCAATATAAACTCGATTTAACTCTATTTAGCGGCAATTTTGAAACCTCTCCGTTGTTATAGCAACGGTTGCCAAGCACAAGTTCTGAATAGATTTTGACTTTAGATATGTTGCCTGATATATAGGTATATAAAATTTTAGTCTTGTACTCAAACATTTAGATGCCTAATATCCCTGCTTAAAATGTGCATCTAAAAATTTCGAGAAACTGTAGCCACTTTAAATACCGTGAGTAATCTAGCTAGTATATAGGACGAAATGGTTACCCTAAAGACTATTATCGACATATTATTACGTTGAAGGAAGCATCTCAAGTTGGCCTAGTTTTAAACGTTAAGCTACCGCAGATTTGAACTTCTTTACCCAAAAGCTACATTCCGTCTTACTAAAGTAACGCCCTTCTTATTGTCAATTGGGGAAAATGCTCTTCTAAACTTCATATATAGGTCTTGTGCATTGGTAGACATGTAGGTGTCGCTAAGATTTCAATAAAGTTCGAAAGCCTTCGCAATTGTATTACTAAATTTATATTTTCAGAGCTTTCCCAAATCCTAGCATCTCGTGTTTATGGATTACTCGTGGAACGGGACGAGAAATGTTTTCAGGATCAGAAACTCTGGCTACAACACGAGGCATTGTCTCAGGGGCATCTCCAGGAAACTGGGACATTCAGAAAAGCGTTATGGCAGAAACTTTCCTCGATTGTTTCCCCGATATTGTCTGAAGTGATAGCATTCTGTGATCGAAATCACAACCTCAATATACCGCATGAAGGAAAGGATTGGAAATCGCGATTGTGGTTTTGGATGCTTAGTGAAGTACAAATTACGCCTTTAACTTACGATTCGTTTATTTCCCCTGAATCACAAAGAATAAGAGAAAGAGCCTTTGTTCAAAATACAGGCTTTGGACATCGTTTTAACGGGAAGTTTCCGTTTTCATGGATCATTAAAGATATAGTCAGCGATCTTTTAATAAAAGTTGCAGGTACGATCTTTTAACAAAAATTGCATCTAACACGTAATTTCTCCTTCAAACAAACTTACTAAATTTTTTATTGCTCTTCAGTCGCGGTTCGAATGAACCATACATGCAAGCAGCACCTCGCCATTTCCAACCAAGGAAATAATCTCCTGGGCTAGTCACACCTAGCCTAGCTATAACAATAAGTTTACATTATGGAATAAGAATGCGTCGCTAGCTAATCATTTGGTACAAAATATAGTCATAACATTAAAGTGTATGTCACCAATTTTCTGCAGACGTTTTATAGACCCTACACGCTTGCGGAGCTGTTAAAATTTCAACTTTTGAGGTTTCAGAAGGACATCTAAACAGTATCAAGCTCGTATACCAATAAACGGCATCCTCTACCTATACCGCACCGGTTTAAAACATTTCAAAGCTTTACACAGTTTATAAATAATTTCTTTTTCGCTGTTTGATTTTGAAGAGCAACCATTTTTGTTTTTGATAACAGTTTTCCGAATTGGCAGTTAAATTGCTGACGTTATCATTGAGATACAAATTTCGGTCTCGGCCAATCAGTAGGTCCGCTTATTAACGGTTTTCTTTCGTTTAAATTTCGGGCATGCGCATAACTAACAAAACCACCCAACGTCCACGACATAATATTTGGACAACTTTAGATTCCGCTATGTTTTGTTACGTTACCCGCGTGTAATTCCTAATCTTTCAGCGGAATTACTACCCTTGCTGGCTCGGGGGTTAACCCAGTTATGGCTTGCTAACTATGAAATAGCATACTTGCATTTTTGTAATGTAGGCGACCCTTCAAAGACACTGCTTCAATTAAGAGGGATCTTTTACCAATCACCACTGGGAAATTACCTGAAAGTTATATTTGAAGACAAAGAGAATAAAAAGGAAGTAACAGAAAACTACCTTCATGATTTTCTTCACATGATGTACAAACCAATAGAGAATGGAGAATTGCAGGTAAAAAGCGCATGTTTATCCCGCGCTGTAAGGTCTTAAGGAGAATTCATTCCTCTGCACTTTGTTAATAAATATATTTCATTTAATTGCATAAAAGGCCCACACACATTGAACGCGATTCCCCAACGCGACTCGAAATTTCGACCTTTTAAAGCAAATAAACCCAATTCTGGACGGAAATTTGGAGAGCAATGGGCCCTAGACATGTAAAATGTAACCTCAGCTTGACTGTTCTTATCTTAGAAATCCAAATATTTCGAAATATTTTGCCTGCGTTTTTCGAATTGTGAGCAATAAAGAAGATATCATTTATTCAAGAGGTTGCAATTCGAAATATGCGAAATATTTTGCATTTCACAGAGAAAAAGCGCCCGTGTTTCAGCTTGATTGAACACAATTCCAAAGACGCAGCCGAAATATTTGCATTTCTCTTGAAAATTTTGCTTTGAATCAGGGCTTTGAGCCTACACAGACAGGAGACGATTTTAACGCGACGCAAATCCTCAGTTTTTTTAAGCAAAAAATTCTGGAAGGAAACTTTGAGAGCTACGGGTCCCAGACATGTACATGTCCAAAGAACGTTTCGTTCAGTAATTATCGAGAATATCATAACATGTTCAAAATTAGTTGGTTTTTGAAAACTCAAAAATTCGTAAAAATCGCGTCACGTTGGCCGATCGCGTCCGGTGTCTCGACCTCACATTTTACGATTAACGAAGGCAATTATTAGAGTTTTATTTTGAACTTTGTTTTCCCTATAGTTGATATACGATGCCTCTTTCGAAGCTTCTGGGCAAATACATCAATTGCTGCACGAAAATGAAGATTTTGACATTGACATTCCTTTTATTCATTTCACTTACTCCCTCATTGAAGCTCGTTTGGCAAGATTTTCTGATCTGGTTCATGCTTTTCCTGGTCTAGTGAAAGAACTACTAAGGCTAAGCGATCGGTTGAAAGTTGGAGAAATGGTATGGTAAATGGTAGGGTAAAGGGTTTTTACCATTGATTATAGAAGACATATAATTAAATGAGCAATTATGATTTTTAGATACTGGATACGGTAGCACTTGAGTATTGCTTACAGAAGTTGGAACCAACACCCAAAGATCTGGAAAGCAGTGGTAATAGATCATGTTGGTGCAACCGTGTTCAGCGTGTTGGCCAAGTTGTGAAAGATTTAAAAAGTCTGAAATATAGCTGGAAACAACAACAGAACAAAGATGGCAACCAAGCTGGATTTGTTACTCACCTGTTTGGGGAAAAATCAATTGTAATTTTTGAAAAATGCAGGTGTGTATACCCTCAATAATATAACAGAGTTTTTATAAGAAGAAGATAACATTAACATACCGAAGTTTAAAAAAAATCTCTACTGAAGCTTCCAAATCTTTCGCTTTCCGAGCTCTCCAAGCTTGGGAGCTTGGGAGGCTCATTAAACTCAAGGATTGGGAGGATCTGCAGTATATAAGCAAAAAATCTGGTATAATACTTTGTTATATGATTTTTATTTCTTCTTACGCGAGGTAGGAGATCTTTACAAGCTTTTACTAAAGTTCACTAATGTTCTCTTCTTTCTCCGTTCTTCTCTTCTCTTCTGATTATTCGTCCTTTCGGATCTCGTTGTTTTCTGTTCTTGTCTTCTTCGTCAGTTCTGTCGTTGAGCTTCCTAACGTTTCATAAGTTAATCTTTACTCCGTCAGTCCACTAAAGGTTTGGGTGTTGTGCACGCCCTTTTATAGTAACGGTTGAGGAAAACTTGCAGATGTCATCAACCAGAGTGGGCTGATTCTTATCCAACCAATCAGCGTTGTGAGTTAGAAATGTGGGTTGGTCTTAGAAGCTCGTTCCAGCTCTCATTTGTTTAAGGCGTTGTCGCACTAGTCGAGTTGGTCTTCTGCTCAATCGATCAATACTTAAAAATGTTCACAACTTAAAATATTTATCATCAACAACTAGTAAAATTTACAAATAATACGTCTGTGAACAATATCTTTCAACTTAAACTATTTCACTCTTATTTTATCGAACTGAACTTTTGATGACGTAATCTATTACATGCTTGACCGAGCAACATTTTTAACACAATTGATTGACATATGAACTTGAATGGCCTACAGCACGCACACTTTTTATAAAAATGCAACCATTAAGATAAGTGAAGACTTAAGACTGTTTATCCAGGTATTAGTTCTGAGAGGATTATAAATATTTTCCTCTTATTACTTATTTAATCCCACGATATGTCATACATGAAAGGGAAAGGCGATTAATGTTTGCTAATGGCCGAAAATTATATTTACTCAGGCGTCTTGTGGCAAAAATCATTCACTAATCCCTGTCATGCTATTGATATTCCTATTTTTGCAGCTATTATATGCATATCTCTAAACACAATAAAGCTTTGCGTAACAACTTTCTAACTTAGCTATGTAAAATAAAATGCGAAAATGGTGATAGCAAAGGTATATAATAATTTTGCTATATAATTATGCTATTTATATTCATTTTGAAATCAATGGTGTTTCTTGCAATCTGATTGGTTAAAAATAGTGTAATTATTCCCAATTCGCACTATTTTTGAGCATTAGTCACATCCTTTATAAGCCAATAAGATTTAAGCTCTGCACCATAATAACCAATCAGATTTAGTATTTCAGTGTAACTATCCAATCAAATTACAAGGGAAAATGGCACAAAATTTTATTATTTTGTATTTTTAAATGCCCCGCAAAATTTCTTGACAAAAATAGATGAAAATTACTCACATTTTACACTGTTTTCGGTTCTTTAGCCAAAAAATCGTTTTGAGTTTGTTTACTTTTTTGTGTGATTTCAAAATGAATATAACAAAGTGGAAATTGCACTTCGTGTCGTGCACCTTGGTGTTAAATCAAAGTATTGTTAAATCACAATTGTGATTACAAATCTTGTTTTTGTAATCACGCGTTTGATTTCACACCAAATTGCACTCCACTCAGTCCAATTACCATTATAAGAACAAATTCCTATATTTCAGGGATTTTCAGTACAAATAATTTTCAAACTTTTTTAGTGATTTAATCATTACAAAACAAAAATTCCTAATTTTTTTTTGTTTTTATCTTTTAGAATGATGTGGATACGTTTAGATGTTGTGCGCATGTTTATCGAACATACATGTCCACCTGGCCAGCGAACCTATGAAGCTAATGCACAGAACTAACTTTTAACTGTGGAAGGTAAAGCCCTTTGTTATTCCGAACCAATCAAAAAAAAGTCAGGCTATCTTATATCAATCTTCCATGCAGTTTTATTAATAATTTGAAATATATCAGAGTCTATCAAAAAGTGGCTCACTACATGTGACTCCAGCGCACTTTTGTGCGTAAGTAAATGCACCCGGTTAGAATTCACCTCACAGCGTATTACTATACCATATTTACCTTCAATGTGGTCAGACGGCTGAACCTAGGGGCGTAACTAGAACAATAAAGGGGAATATTCATATATTCTCATATATTCAGTTCTGCCTATTTCGCACAATAACGTTACAGAATTGAAAAATTTATCTCGGGATAGTATTTACAACAATATGGTTGTCAATGTTTTTAATTTTCAACCATTTATATAAGATTTTGATTGGTTATTGCATACTCATATGCAATAGTCCTCCAGGCGACGTGACTTTCTGCATGATTCTTATCGAATTAGTATTATAGCTCGTCCATATTTATGATGCGAAAAATGTTTCATTCAAGAAAGGAAAACCCTGATTTACCTTAAAAATTGCAAACATTGCTTAAGTGAATTAAGAACGTGCTGAAGGTGGTTCACCATTTAGCTTGCGTAACAGAATTTTTTTATCAAGAAGTATTCATGTATAGATAGAAGTTCATAAATTTTAGGTTTTAGGAGAAAACCTCGACTTTTCTACCGTCCGTACTATGACTGCAGTAGAGAGATTCCTGAAGGATTGCTGTGACAGAATTAGCAAACGATTCAGGTACGTACAGAACCTTCATTACATATACGTGTCTACATTGTGTAAGAAGTTCAGAGCGTTTATTCACCAGTGATTTAGGTTTGCGTTTTATAATGTATAGCTTCTTTTGAAGGCAGGGGTTAAATCTTCTTGAACCGGCTTTGTAGGCTGGGACGGTTTTCAGGAGCGATCATGTTATAGAAAATGCTTTCTTAGCTTCCTTTAGCTTCCATATGTATTTTGACAGCTCCGTCTCCTTCGCGTATTTCTTGTCCGCGAAAGATTTTGCGTGGTTTCGGTAGCACGTTTTGAATTCGTCCGCAGTGACTCCCGCGTGTACTAGCTTGGCTGGTGGATCTTTGTTGCACATGGACACTTCGGCTTGGTAGACTACGTTGATGTGAGGCATTTACCTTTAGCTGGGCATTTTTCCGGTCGTCTGCAGTTGCATTGTCGTGAGTTGTTTGCGTCGTCTGTGTTTGCGTTTGTCTGTTTTGTGTGTTTACTTAGTATTTTTTTTTATGCTTGTTTATGAATGAGTGCATGTTGTCAAGGCAGCGGTAGCTAATTCGTACGTTATGTCGGTTGAAGATTTTTTGGAGTTTTTTGGAAGATGGGAAGTGCTTGTCTAACAGTCGTAGAAATTGTTGTCTGCATGATGTTCGTTTTTACGCTTTTCGAGTAAGGGGGATTGTACCAGATTGTGTTGCGTTGCCGTTTACGTCTTTGCGTTGTTTTGCTTTTGTTGATGTTGTCATTGTTAGTTGGTTGCTCGTATACGTAAGTGTTGCGTCGTAGTTGCTTTGTCTCAGTGCGTTGTTGTACCAGTTGAGATGCAGCGTCAAAAGTTGATAGCAAAAGCATGATAGTTTGTTGATTCGTTTGTTGATGGATGATGGAAGTTGTTGTGTGATGGCAGGTGGGTGATTGGAAAGACGGTTGATGTATAGTGGATCGTCGTTTGGTTTTTTGTATAGGGTTGGTATGTTCCGTCAGTCAAGTCAAGTTCAACGTCAAGCAAATTTACCCGCTTCAAGTTAGCCGTGGCGGTGATTTTCAGCCCGAGATTTTTGAAAGTTTCGGCCAACTATTTCCTAGCTTTGTCACCTAATCTGTCTGACGTAGTACGTATAGCGGCGAGGCCGTCATCGCGGTACAGTCCGACGTTACACATTATGAAACACAAAACTAAATCACTGCTGAACAAAAGCTCGGACTTTTTACACAATTTAGACACGTAACTCGTCCCGATAAATTTATAGAGAATAACAACTTAACCTGTCATTAGCCGGATGATCGCTTCATAGCGTGAAACTCCGAGTAGCTTAGCTAGTCTTACAGTAACTATATTTTGACGATATTACTTCAGTTCACAATAACGATGAAGATTATTAAAATGTTTGCAGCAGGATTCACCTGAACCTTAATCTCTTTCTGATGAATTTATATATATATATATATATATATATATTATATA